AGTTGAAAGGGGTGAAAGGCCAGATGGTGGGTAATACGGTTTCAATAAGTTTGCGATGTAGAGTTGGCTCTTTGTTGTCTCAACTAACTCTTATATACACCCTCCTCATTATTACTTTTTCCCCATTTCTAGCCATGCAAGATTATTGAACTTTTTTAACATGGCAATTACCCTACCCTATAACTTTTCCAAAATCCTATTTGTCGATAAGAAATGTTATAAGTACCCTAATTATTACTAATATTGAAAAAAAATATGTATAATATTTTTTAAAGACAAATAAAGGGGTTAGAGTAAAAAGACAACCTCCACGTACCCCCCCACCCTTTTAGTTATTGGATATTTTACACATAAATTAGTTAAGTTATAGTATTAAACATATACCTTCTATATATTTTTATCTTTAAAATATATACTTCGTATTAAACATAAAAAAAAAAAAAAATTTAAACACGTATTAGGTATTTTAGTTCACAGTGGATCTATCCACCAAAAAAAAATAACTACTTATATGAAATATCCAAAAATATATATACATCTAAATTTCAAAAGTCGAGAATTTGAGATGTTTAAAAACTTATATAAATTGTCCAATAACTTATATTCGTCTCACCGTGAAACGATTAATATTTCTAGAAAAAGGTGAGACATAGTTAAGATATAAGATGAAAGTAACTTTTAATAGTGATTTTTATGTAAGAAATTGACTTTTTAAAAGGAATAATAAATCACATCACACACTCATCGAACTTCTTCGTTCTAAATTATTAGAATATCAATTGTGTGATTTTTACCATATAAGTAACTGAGTAACATTTGACAAACTTAATCAAAAGCCTAATTAAGGATGAAAGTGAAACCTAGAAACATACTAAGTAATTTCGAAAGAAAAGATACCAATCACTATTACAAAAGTGGAGTACATTAGGTTTTGATGGGTAAAGGGTCCCATCCAACTCAAATAAACAAAGACAAAAACAAAAAGCAAGATTAGAGCAAGGTGCGGAAACTAAGGAGGTCCATACAATTTTTCAAGAGAAAAACCATATTAATTAGATCATGAACTAATGAGCATAGAAGAGAAAAAGAAACAAAAATTTGGCAATGGGGAGACAAGATAAGCTAAGACTATCAAAGTGAAAATAACTTGTATTAGTTGAATGCATGCATGTATGACAACCCAACCAAAATAAATATTAGAATAGATATTTTTTGGACAAATTTTTATGAAAATGAAGTATCAAGCTTTTTAACCAAAAAAATAATTAAACAAGGGTGAGGTGAGTGGAAAACGTGGGTGATTAGAGAAGGTGAACATAAAATTTATTGAAATAATTTAAACAACCATGTACGAGTTGGAACTAGCTACGCGTGATTCCAACCTACATTGAAGAGATAGAAGAATAATGACTAACGCATAAGATTGGTGGATTAGCTACCTCATTAACTAACGCCAGATGAAATTCTGGTAGCTAGACTTATATGTGATCACACTCTCATTAGGCGTGACATTTTTTTGGATAGTTTTGTATGAAAGCGAAGTATCGAGCTTTAAAACGAAACAAGGGTGTGGTGGGTGGAAAATGTAGGTGATGGCAAATTCAGGAGCGCCATATCTGATAATATAATTGGTTAGCTCACAAGGTGGTGGTCGTGGACTAATATAATGAACCATATATACTTGTTGTGAAATGAAGGGGGGGGGGGGGGGCTGAGTGTTAATGTTATCCTTCTTCCAAGTGCCTGGCCAAGCCAAGACATTGATGGGCCTATTGCCTCCTGCCGCCTTCTTCTAACATGTGGCTCTTTGTTGGTTGTTTGAATTTATGGATATATACTATACTATACTTGCTTGTATTTCATATGATATGATATGGGTCTGTCATTTTGCATGTGCATTTGTATTGTACTACTTGTGCTTATTTGTTATACTTGTATGTTGGTACGTGTGAACATGCCGCATGATCGATCGACTTAATATATGATTGTGTGTATGTATGTATGCAATTATTGTTTGTAGTAAAACCTGGAGGTGATCTTGGCCGGATGATCTTTGGACCAAGCTTCGATGCAAAAACGAAAAAACATTCGATCATTTACCGGATACCATAACCTTGAGATTTCAGCTATTAGGTATGTTTGGATATTAAGGTAATACTGATACAGTTTAAATTATCACATTTTATGGTTCAAAAACACTTCAATTTCAAGGTAAAAAATATTGCTCAACCAATTTTGGCTGTCTAGATTAGGCTAGCTCTATTTACATTATGTGATTGCTCTATAAAATATGTGTAAATAGACTCAATAGAGTTTGTTGTTAGTAGATAGGAAAATTAAGGAGGTATATATAGATTGACTTATAGCTTTGGAGAAGGCTTAAAGATTTATGTTAGGAGATGTATGGGGGTAATAAGTACAGTAGTTCTACCAAAAAACTCTTTGTAATCTCTCCGTAGTAATATTTGGAGTACAAATCGTCCATAATCGTGTATTATTTGATTCTAAAAGGCTCTCATGATTATGGAATGAATGTGGATTTTAATACATAATGTTGGGGAATTGGGGATGAGGAATTTAAGGTCTTAAATTGATGAAGATTCTAGAGCATCCCAAGATATAGTCAATTAATGCAATATATTACAGTACATATAAATGTGATTTCGATATGCATCATGTACTCATGTGCATCATTTAGGGCACACACCCTATAAATAATTTGAGCATAATTATGGTCAAACAATACAATATTCCTTTGATGGTCCAACCTATAAACATTATTCAACATCACTCGCTCTACGGAGTATATATAAGGCTATCAGTCTAAATCATTACGGAATCTTACATTAATTTTTGGGTTTTTCTATATAGTATCCCTGAGGTATTCACTTTTCCATGCTGTGTCCCTCCTTTTTCAAATTTTCACGCTGTAATCTCAAGGTGCATTTAGTGATTACGCTATAACCTTGGCGTTAATATTTCATTAGTTGTTGCTGTTAGTGGGGCCCACTTTACACCTATTAATTTTTTTTCACGATTTGCGTGTTAAAAAAATGTTTCATTAGATGTTTAGAGGTCATTTTAACCCTTAAGGATCCAAATTGAGCTCAGGTTTGACAAAAAAAATAACGTAGAAGCCCCGTTTTGTGAATTCAGATTTCCGCAGTTAAAATTAGAATTCACAAAACGGGGCTTCTATGTTATTTTTTTGCCAAATCTAAGCTTAATTTGGATTCTTAAAGGTTAAAATGACCCCTAAAACTTCTAACGGGACATTTTTTAGCATGCAAATCGAGAAAAAAAATAATTTAATGAATACCACAAGGTTACTATGTAGAAAAACCCTTAATTTTTTTTACGAATTTTTTGAAGATATATTCGTTACTTAAAACTAACTTAATTTGAATACAAAAATCAAAATTAATGTTATAATCACTTTCTATAGATCTTTCTCTTTGCATGAAGGTAAGTCGTCTTAGATGAGATATATATGTCATACTCGGCTGTATATATAGATTATAATTTATTTAAAAAAAGGTTATTAGCTATAAATTAAACAACAATAATAATTGAAAAGTGCCTATACAATGATGGATTTTATGTACAAAAATAAAATAAAATGAGAGTGATCGACCACCCAACTGAAATTAGTCATTAGTAACATAAAAAGATTATTGACATACACCTTTTTGAGTAAAATCACTTGTAATCTTCATTAGCACACAAAGCATGTTATGACATCTTAATCCACCTTTAATAATATATTCGAATGCAAGGCATGGTCCAATAATGATGTGAACCTCTCACCATTTTACATCCATTAAAGAGCACCAAACAAATATACTGTTTAGACTTTTTTCCCTTTGTTTTTTGCATTTCATGTGATTTTACTGTTCTACAAAAAGTTTGTTGTTCCTTCTTTGATTAATTAGTGTATATTTTTCCCATAATTTAATTGGATAATGTTCATGTTCGTGTATAGTTTAGGGAGGGGTACTAAAAAGGTTTTATGAATATTAAATGAAAAAAGGATATCATATATATGTAGATAGACATGATGCTTTATCTTATATTAATATGATATAATAAACCATTATTCTGTAGTCCGATGAACTTATTTCGTAGTTTGTAATCGTTTATATTGATAATTAAGCTCATGTCAAAAATATTAAAAAAAAAAAATGATATAAACCAAATTATGTATATGACATTTAGAGTAGGAGTGTGGAAATTTTATGAGGTATGAAGTATTATACATCAAGTCATCAATACATGCTCTACTTCATATACTGTACGTCCGATCCGTACATGTGGATCAAGGTAATATACTGAGTTACTGACTATTGACAAATGATCTCATAGTCGTTCCTTCTTTAAGTCAATTTACTCCATTTAAGTCGGATAACCCCAACTTCACAATCGATCTATTTTTTTCCTAAACATGACAAGTTTTAAGTGCCTAGGCATTATGCACTTCGACAAGTTCGTCGAGGCATGCTTGAGCCAATAGAAATAACCTATGGTAGCAAGTTTGCTTCAATCTTCTTATCTGTTTCTAGTTTTATTATACTTTGTAATAGAATAATATACCCCAAAAATAAAAAAATTATAGTCTAGGTTGCTTAAAGAGTCGAGTTGAAGTATGACTCGAGTGACCAGTTAACAACTAGCTACAATCTGTATAGGTATGCTGAAAAAACATGTACGGAGCAATGTATTAGACTAACTAAGAATATAGATTAATGAAATCATAAAAAATTAAAAATATATACTTGTATATGTATTCTTACGATCTTATCACATTATTATTAGAATAGTTGCATATTCATAACCAATAAAGTGTTGGCTCACTTGATAAGGTTCTTATTTTAGATCCTATAGCTTTAGAGGTGTGGGGTTCGAATCCTACAAAGTGAGGGTACTTGGGGGTAGGGATACCCTTACCCTCCTCTCTACTCCCAAGTGCCTGGCCCGCATATATTGGACCAAAACAAAAAGTGAGGGTTGATGTCTAATTAGAGTCCTCCTTCCCAATTAAAATAAATAAAATAATAATTGCATGTTCATATGATTCCGTAAGAGAAAGATTGGACCCAAGTCCAGCTATCAAATTGCACTGTTGACATAACACAATTTTGCCCCACGACCATCCAATGGACCAAACCTAGCCAGAATGGCTCAATTTCCAACGAGCCCAAAGCAACCCCGGCTCAACCGGGCTAACTTTGTCGGCCCAATGGCTACCTAAGTCATAATCACCAACAACTTACCAAAAAATTAAAAATTTAAAAAAGAAAAAAAAAATAATAATAAAAAAAAAAAACAGAGAAAGATTTTGATTGTGATTTTTGGCAGGAGATTCATCAGATCCATCTTCTCCTCCTCAACTGCTGAGAATCAGATCGTTGTCTTCTTCATCTTCTTCACTGAAACTATGCTCTCAATTTCTTCCTTCGAACCCTAATTTTCTTTCTCCTCCATTAATTTTTTCATCTCTTTCGACGATCCAAAATGTATATGGCTTATGGATGGCCGCATGTAATGCCAATTGAATCAGGAATTTCTGATTCTTCTCAACGAATTATTTATCTTAAAGTTATCAATCGATTGTTGCTCGTTGTCGCTCCTTCTCATCTCGAACTCTGGAGTTCTTCTCAGGTTCTAATTCTCTCTAAATTGCTTTCTGATTCAGTTCAATTTTTTGTAAATTCTACAAGTTTTTTCGTAATTTTTGATTTTTTCTTGCGGAATTCGGTAATTAACTTGCCGTTGCCGGCATTTTTGTTTTTAATTGTTGCTGATCTTGTAGAATTTCTGGAAATTGGTAACTACTCATATGAATTCAGTAGGCTGAGTTTGAATTCGATTGATTTTCAGCCGTTTTTGTCACTTAAAGTTTGAATTTGCTATACATTGATTCCGAATTGTGGTTGTGGATTATTGTATGGATGTTGAACTGGACTGTTGGGCGTGAGCAGCAAAATTTATTTTATTCAATATTGCTACTGTGTAACAAATAGGTGAAGTGATGAAAATGTGAATAACATTTTATGGTTTGAGGTGTGAATTTAGTTGGCCGAGCTACGGCTGTTAGAATTTTGTTACACATTGATGAGTGGATAGTGGCGGTGTAGTTTTGTATGGATTCTGACGGTCTGACCTGGAGTGTAGACGCATAGTAGTTACTTTGGAATTGTTACTTTGCCACAAATTGTGTAAAAGCATGGCAATGTAGTTATCCTAGTGACTTGGTAAACTTAGTTCATGAAATTTTCTTGTGATTTCAGAGAAGAAAGAAGTTATCATGTGAATGGTTGCACTAGTTTAGACTCATGAGAATTGGGTCAGAGTTGAATTGCACTATTTGCTTTGTTTAATGCGACTGTGATCTGATTATATGCTTTTTAACTGTGTCTGGCATGGTTTATGTTCTTTGTTTTGTTTGATTAGCATAAAGTGAGATTAGGGAAGTATAAAAGGGATTCAAGCTCAATCCAGAGAGAAGGTGAGAATATACAGGCAGTGTGGAGTCCAGATGCAAAATTGGTTGCTGTTCTTGTGAGTTTTCTTCTCTTCTCATTCCTTCTTTGATTTCTAATTTATTTATGTTTTATTTTAAGCACTTTCTTGTGTTCCACCCAAGTATTTGAAGCATTCTGGTTCTTAAGTTGATTTTTCCATCGACCTTTGTGTTATCCCATGTAAAGATGAAATAGGATTAATTGATATGTAGCACCTCAATCCTTAAGGGTCTGTTCACCTTATTTTCACTTATATCAGGTATAATAAGTTCAGTTCAGAAAAAATAAGTTCTGATAAAGGTTACCCAAGTTTAAATTACAACTAAAATAAGTTTTAATAAGTTCAGATAAGTGAAAATCAGGTGAATAGAACACACCCTAAATATAGATTAAACATTTGTTTAGGTTGGCACCTGAGTAGCTGAATACATCTCACTATCTTATGATGAATATTTAAGCATTATGTTCAGTTTTTCTGCTATACTTTTTGGATTAGAATGTTGCAGGAATACAATATGTATTTGTATGATCAAATAAGCTGCCTTCATGACAATCATGAGTTTAGTGCTTGTTGGTAGTTTGTAGGTGTAAACTCATTGGTTATATAGGAAAAATCTGTCAACGATATATAGGAAAAATCTGTCAACGATATATAGGAAAAATCTGTCAATAATACTTGAAGAAGGATTTTACTATGGCTAGAGTCTTTCTATGAATTTGATAGGATTATTATCTACCTAAAAAACTGTGGAAGGAGGGCTACTTTGTATGTATGTGATGGAATTATTATCATCATGAAAAAGCGTGGAAGGAATGTATACTACCCTTAAGGTAAGAAGTAATTACTTATAGAGGAGACATTTCAACGTAAAAGGATGAGATGGCACAAGTTAGATGGAGTTATGGAATTAATTATAATAGCCTAAAAGCCTAATTCATGGTAGCAGTGAGAAGTGCCAGTGCGTGATAAAGAGGTACCAAAGATTTTAAAATCAGTATTCATGTGAGCGTTCTTATTATGACGGGCATAATGAAATTAGTATTTGCTGCATAATTAGTATATGCCTATTTCTTAGTCTTGGCTTCGACTGTGCTTTCTTTGAGATTAGAAATATAAAATATCCTTTGCTGGAAAAGCTAAAGCCAGTGAAGGGGAAAAGTAGGCTGTAGTGATAAAATGTGCTACCATGGAGATACTAGATTCTCTTTCTGTGGCTTGTCTGCTTATAAGCAGGAATGTAATTGCTTTTAGTTGGGGCAATCTATGGGTTTTGCTTCCATTTGTGGTTTGATGACGAAAATAAGTACATAATATTGCTGTCTTTAACTTTTCTTTCTTTCCTTGCAGACTTCTTCTTTCTACCTTCACATATTTAAGGTGCAATTTTCTGATAAAAGAATACAATTTGGGGGAAAGCAGCCATCAGCTCTGTTTCTTGCAAACATTAATCTTGTCCTAAATGAGCAGGTCCCTTTTTCTGTCAAGGATTTAACAGTGTAAGCTCCGACCTTTACTGCTTGGCTTGGAGATATCGTACAATATCCTAAAGTTTTTATGAAACTTCCTCCAGCTTATATTTTTCTTTTCATCTTTAAGGGCCATATGGATTATTATAATTATAAAGGCCAGGGAATGGAATGAAAGTGGGTGACCTATAAGTTAACTTCTCATAATCTATGAAAAAGAGTGTCCTATAATTTTTGGCGATTTTTTCCCAGTGTTTTGTAAACCATTTAATGTGCATCCTGCAAACAGTAATACTTGGATGTCTTAACATACTGCTCATAAGTGTTTCATCGAACCTTTTCTAATTGGTTTCTGATTAGTTTTTTCCCTGCCCAGGAGCAATATCGTATGTGATAATAAGCATTTGCTGATTGGACTGTCTAATGGTTCCTTGTATATTATATCATGGAAAGGGGAGGTAAGCTATTAGTGCATTTATCTTCTATTGCCAACAGTTTACTAATTCTTGGCTGAATCACCCCCAGGCCACACTGTATAGGTTTTTCAGCTGACGTGTGTCTGTAATTTTAGGCTACCTACTACAACTGCAAGTCATCTGCATGCCTACAAATGTGGTTTGATGACTGTTATTACTATCCACTCTAATCTCTATGCGGTTGGTTTTGCAGTTCTGTGGTGCTTCTATTGTTGACTGCCGTATTGGTGAGAGTGATGAAATCATTAGGGCACCTAATTGTTTTGAAAATGGATGTGCAACTGGAAGAAGTCCAGAAGTAAATCATATAGACCCAACACTCTCTGGACCTTCTTCTATAGTGGGGTTGGAGCTTTCATTGCTATTGAGGATGCTATTTGTTCTTTTCTCTGACGGGAAGCTTGTACAGTGTTCTGTAAGCAAGAGGGGCCTTAAGCAATCTGACTCTATAAAAACTGAAAAGATACTTGGTTCAGGTGATGCTGTATGTGCTTCAGTAGCTTCTGATCAGCAAATTCTTGCAGTTGGTACTAGAAGAGGGGTTGTTGAGTTATATGACCTGGCTGGATCTGGTTCACTAATGCGTAGTGTTTCATTGTATGATTGGGGGTAAGCCTTTTTATGTTGCTTATCTTGGAAAATTGACTACATGATTGTGTATCAAGTCTCTGTTGGTAGATCCAATATCTCTGTACTTTGAGAATGGTGATGGGTCTTATGATTGCCGTAGCTAATTCACTTGTAGTGGACTGGATGCTAGTCTGATTTCGAATTATTTCATGCACTGTTATGATGACAGTGGCTTTAATTACTGACCATTTCTGCAGGTATTCTACTGAGGATACTGGTCCTGTTAGTTGTATCGCGTGGACACCTGATAATTCTGCGTTTGCAGTTGGATGGAAGCTTAGAGGGCTTACAGTTTGGTCTGTCTCAGGTTGTCGTTTAATGTCAACTATCCGTCAAGTTGGTTTGAGCTCTATCTCTTCCCCAGTAGCTAAGCCAAACCCCGATCGGAAATCTGAGCCCTTAATGGCTGGTGCAGCAGCAATACACTGGGATGAATATGGATACAGGCTGTATGCGGTGGAGGAAAAGTCTTCAGAGAGAATTCTTGCATTCTCCTTTGGTAAATGTTGTCTTAATAGAGGAGTTTCAGGCTCAACCTCTGTTCGTCAAGTGATCTATGGTGAAGATCGTGTTCTTCTTGTTCAGTCTGAGGAGACAGATGATCTTAAAATGTTGCACCTTAACCTTCCAGTTACGTGCTTTACTTGTCTTCTTTCTTGCCACTCATATTTTGCCTATGATGTGTGGCTCTTTCTGACATTGTGTTTGTCCAGGTCTCGTACATCTCACAGAATTGGCCAGTTTTACATGTGGCAGCTAGCTTTGATGGAATATTCTTGGCAGTTGCTGGTCTTCATGGGTTGATATTGTATGACGTACGTCTGAAAAAATGGCGGTTCTTTGGAGATGTTACACAAGAACAGAAGATCGAGTGCAAGGGTTTGTTGTGGCTGGGGAAAATTGTTGTTGTCTGCAATTATGTCAGCTCATCTAACACGTGAGATTTTATCTCTATTCCTTTTAGATTCTGTTAGTGATTTATAACTGCCTATCCTCAAATAAGGAGAAACTTCAACTAAGGAATGGACAACAGAACAAATTCTAACGGCATATATTCTAAGAAGGAGAAACTTTGACTTAGAAATGGACAGTAGAACAAATTCTAATGAGATCGTGACTAGATTAAAGGACATAAATAAGTATTTTACTTCCTTATTAATATACGTTCAATTGACATTCAGATTAGTGGGGTGTACCTTGATGTAACTTGTGCAACCTATATTTTGCCTGCTGGTTTATTACTTAAAAAGATTACAATCGGTCTCCTCTATCACGATGATTGATCAGGAAGCATGTTTGAACTTTAGAATCTCTTAAATGGAGTAAAGTCTGTGCATATTATTTCGGGTTGAATACCAACTTACTGAGGAATACTCCTGTTGCTCAGGAAGATAGTCTTATAATTGTATGCCATATCCTTTTTTTCTGGAAAAGTTATCATATGTCACAGTTTTATTTGCTTTGTTCTTTGTCTACTCTTCTGTTGGGTGCTAACGTTGCTCTAGGCTGGTATTGGGAAAAGCATAACACTTCTGAATTGGGTATCAGTAACTATGTAACTTCTCTTGTATTTGAGAACATATACAGAGTTATGTGACAGTCAAGATGATTTAAATAACTAACTCTTAGCAGCTTATGTCACCCTAACATATATTTACTAAATCCAACAGGTGATATTTTGTCCATCTCCATGCTTGTCTGTGAAATCATGTATCATATTTGTTTGGAAAAATAGTAGTAAACAGTTTTTGTGGATTTATAAATTGCAGGTATGAGCTGCTATTTTATCCTAGATATCATCTTGATCAAAGTTCACTATTGTGTAAAAAAACGTTGCTGACAAAGCCAATAGTCATGGATGTTTATCAAGATTATATACTGGTTGCCTATCGCCCTTTTGATGTCCACATATACCATGTGAAATTATCTGGTGAACTGACCCCTATAAATAATCCAAATTTACAGGTAAAATGTCTTCACTGTATACTCTTGTTCATAATTAGTATAATTATTCACATATCACAGTCCTTTAGAATTCAAATTGTGTTCATGCAATTTCAAGTGATAAAATGACAAACAGCTTTCTACAGTACGTGAGCTCTCTATCATGACCGCAAAGAGCCCTCCGGCATCTATGCGCTTCATACCAGATCAATTTTTTAAGGATTATACTTCAGTAAAGGATTATACTTCAGTAAAATACAAGTCATCACAAGAGCCTGTGAGGTAAGTCTTGAAAAGAAAAATATTGCTTATGAAGCCAATACCTATTAAATCAAAGTATTGCTTTAGTAAACAACTCTTATGGAAGTCCTTTCTGTTTGATAGATGTTTGATATTGCGTGCAAATGGGGAGATGTCTCTTCTTGATATGGATGATGGGCATGAATTGGAGTTAACAGATTCTGTTGAACTGTTTTGGGTTACATGTGGCCAATCAGATGACAAAGAAAATCTCATTGAAGAGATTACTTGGTTGGATTATGGTCATCGAGGAATGCAGGTGATAATTTTCCATTTTTTGTGGTCCTTCTATTGAAGCTTTTCATTTTTGTTGACAACCTTTTTCCTAGTCTCCTAGGTTGTTTTGGCACCGTTGTATGTTTAGATTTCTGATAAAAATATTTTGGAAGTTAACTTTTACAGGTCTGGTATCCATCTCCTGGTGTTGACCCTTTCAAACAGGAGGACTTCTTGCAGGTATTGACATATATTCTGATATAAGTTAAAATAGAATAATGAAAAAGTACATTGTGTCAGCTGTTGAGGTCACTGGTTGCATGAATGCTGTTTCTGAATGTTGCAAGTTTTACTTCTTAATTTCTTATCGACTGGTGTTATGCCTACTTAGAGTTTACTGTTACACTGAATGAATATGCCTTCATTCTCTTTCTTCTGTTAGCCAACACCAAATGAAAATGGAAGTTCTTTTATGTCTTCTCAACTTTCTATGTTACAGAATAAAAGTCCTTGATTTTTTTTAAACAAAAAGGGCGTAAAAAGGAACTAAGACGATGTTTCTAGATATTAGCCAAGAAGTAGGACCAGTATTGCAGCACATGGCATAGGATAGTCTTTATAAATTGTGTAGGTTGAAGGTTGGACTATTAGCAGGTTGCAGAGAGAGTATTAAATTTGTCACTATCATCAACAACACATGTTCCCTTTATTGTTCGTTATATAATCTGTTTTTTATGCCATTTTGTTACCTTGAATCCTTTTGATTTTCTGATTTTCATTTTTTTTTTTCCCTTCTTGTTTAACATTTGGTTGAGTTCTCTTCATATTTAGACAGTATGAAGTGAGAAATAATTTCGTATTTTTTTTCTCTATGCTGTTGATGATAATGATTTCATTTTTTTAGCTGGATCCTGATCTTGAGTTTGATCGTGAAATTTATCCTCTGGGACTTCTTCCAAATGCTGGAGTAGTGGTTGGTGTTTGCCAGAGATTGTCATTTTCTGCGTGTATGGAGTTTCCATGTTTCGAGCCATCTCCCCAAGCACAAACTATATTGCATTGTTTGCTGCGTCACCTCCTTCAGGTATCCCTTGCTTCCCCTCTTCAATTAGTTGGGGTGGACTTTTAGAGCAGATATATTTTATGCGTTTATGGAATTATGGTCGTATACACCATTTTCGAAAAATAATCTGGAATAGGAAGCATTTTGAAATTGATGTGAACTCAAAATACTGCTATTATTGCCCCCCCCCCCCCCCAAGCCGCCTAGAATATGATCATTTTTGTTGTGGCTTCTTGGTGCTGTCGTTATTAGATCATGATCATTTGAATAATGGCAATTATTGAAGACAGTGATTGATGAAATATTATATACACTACAAGTTTTTAGAGTGTGATAGGAATATATGCTTGACTGATTTTTTGGCGGTCACAGTAAACATATCTTTAAGGTCTCTCCTTAGTTTGAATGACACTTGTAATTTCTTCTGTTGTTTCATTGGGACTTTCTCCCCCTTTTGGTTTCTTATATCTGTTCTTTCCGGATCATGTCTCATCAATTGTTTTTTTACTTATGCAGAGGGATAAGATCGAGGAAGCTTTAAAGCTGGCTCAATTATCAGCAGAAAAGTCCCATTTCTCCCATTGTCTTGAGTGGCTACTTTTTACAGTATTTGAAGCTGAAATTTCAAGGTACTTAAGTCTGTAGAAATTATAATCTCAAATCTTAGTTGTACACTTGTACATGTGTATATCATACGGAGCATTATACATTTATTTTGTAGTTACACAACTGTTTCGCCTGATTAGGTTATAGCTGTTAAGTTAAATATATAGTTGGTGAAACAATGATCACTGCCTTATAAATGTCTTAAACAATAATGGATCGGCTTTTGACAAAACTTTACTATCCAACCCAAATGGGAGATCAAGAAACCAAAATAGTGACTTGATTCTCTGCTTACACCGGTTCCTTATTCCAATATTCTAAATCTCTTGGTCTCTTCTTATGCTGTACATTTTCTGCTCTTCTTTTTATATCTTAATAACCAGAACCATGACTACCATTTCTCTAATAATTCTCTCTGCCCCTTAAATTATGACCCCTTTCTATTTAGGCTATCCCAACTATAAGAGGCTACTTTTTAGATTCAATACGTATTAAATTAGAATAGAGCTTTCTCATACTTTTTTTTTTATCCTTTTTAGTGGAGAATTTGGGTTTTTTATATGCAGTTTCCTAAAAGTGACCCTCAATGTCGTGACCAATTTTTTTGTTTAAAGGGATTTAGAACATCTTTAATATCTCTTCTCAAGTTTTGTAAGCAGTAGGTACATTATATACCCCTCTTTATGAGTTTTTGGCGCATATATGACTGGCATTTCCAGTTATACTGTATAGCCAGATTTAAATTAAATAGCTAAGGACAATTTGTGGTACCTTAAATTTGTTACTCAAATTTTGTAAAGCGATACCAACCAAATATGGCCTATGCTTTATTTTTTGGGATATGGTTTTTTTTTTCATTGAACCTAGTACTACAACCCATGTTATACTGTTGAATATTTTTTGTTGCATATGCTCTGTTTTCCTTTCTGTTATACTGTTTGGCTGAAATTATCTCAAACATTTCTTTGCAGGCAAAACATAAATAAAAACCAGAAGGCAGTCTCCAATCAAAAGCCTGAATCTCTTTTGGAGAAGACATGTGACTTGATCAGAAATTTTCCTGAATATCACAATGTTGTAGTGAGTGTTGCTAGGAAAACAGATGGTCGACACTGGGCGGATTTATTTTCTGCAGCTGGTAGATCAACAGAGTATGCACCTTCCGTTATTGTTCAATTATCCTTTGGCTAACATCCAGTGAATTTATTTTTGGTTTTTAGTTATTTTTTGTCTGATATCGTTTGAAAAATTAAAAGCCTATTAAATAGAAACCAAAACCCTGTAAAATGTGAAATTTGTATCAGGCTTGGAGCAAGGCCCAATTTTTAGGAATGGGTTCATTTGCATCTCATTCTACTTTTTAGTGCTTCATCAAAAGCACAGATCATTTTGTAGACATAACTCCCTGCAATCTAGGATACCTACCAACACTATTAAAAACATCTGACATCACTTCTTAAGTACTAAGTTTTCTAAATGCTTCTGCAGTTTATTTCCTGCTAATAAGAATACATTGTCTGCAACTGGCAGGATCATTAATAAATCAACATTAGTATTCAATTGCTATTCTGTTTATCGGCCTAGTAACCAATAGCTGCAAGGTTAATTTGTTACAACTCTTTTGCACAGGTTGTTCGAGGAGTGCTTCCAGAGAAGATGGTACCAAACTGCAGCTTGCTACGTTCTCGTAAGTTCATTTTTGGATTTATACCAATAATTGTTTACTTTTGCATAATTTTGTGGTTTTGAAGAAAATTCTTTCTGAGGAATCCTCCTGTTTTGTGGGATCAAGGTGCTCTCTTGTCCTATGTTACGATTGTAAGAAATTATATTGTGCTTGTTTTTTTGGAGCATGCTTCTCCAAACATCTTATCTATGGAAAATCAATCTTACTTTCGATGTACTCATTTATTGTTTTGTTTGTATTATCTACCTTGCTAGATTTCAAGTTCCTTGTTTTTGCATCTCATCCATGACAACTTTTCTCAGGTCATTGCCAAACTTGAAGGTCCTGCCGTCAGCCAGTACTGTGCTTTGCGCTTGTTACAGGTACCTGAAGTGGAATTGTATCAGTAATATATTTTTTTCTTCACCTTACTGTCAAGTGTCACCCTTCTTTAACTGATTGGCATCCTTTATACCTTACAGGCAACTCTTGATGATTCTTTGTATGAACTTGCTGGGGAACTGGTAAGTAACTTGAATCGGCTGTTACTTTTACAGAGCTCATTTCACCTCTACCAATTTTCACGCTTCTTTTTTTTCGGAAAAAATGCTAAATAAAAAACTGCATTCAAGGTGAGGTTTTTGCTGAGATCTGGAAGAGAGTATGAGCAGGCACCGACAGAAGAAGGGGTTTCACCTAGATTTTTGGGTTTATTTCTTTTCTCTTCAAAGAAGCAGCCTTTTGATTCAAAGAGGTAATGTACTTATCCTATATCCTTGTAGTTTAGTGTTTGATTCAGAGTTGTCTAAATTTCTGAGTGAGGGTAACCAGAAAATTAAGCTTTTGATGCAGCAGCTCACATAAAGAACAAAGTGCGCATGTCACTTCTGTTAGAAATATTTTGGAAAGCCATGCTAGCTATTTAATGTCAGGGAAGGAGCTGTCAAAGCTTGTTGCATTTGTGAAGGGCACTCAGTTTGATGTGGTGGTGAGTTAGCTTTGGTGTTTATTACAGTATTAGTTAATTACTTTATCATTTGTGTTTTTAATGTTTACGGCTTCTTAGAGCTGACTGTGCCAGACTTAGTCATTAGTCAATGACTCAATGCCTGATCCACTCTTCTGTTTCTTGTATTTTCTGTTTATTATGCTGCATATAATTTAAGTATTGTGACTTGCATTTGAACAGGACTTCCTCCAACGAGAAAGATATGGATGTGCTCATTTAGAAAATTTTGCTTCTGGTCTTGAACTCATTGGGCAAAAGGTATATACATCCGAGTTTTTCCTACCAGTTTATGCATCTGTGTTTATATGTTCTATCTGATTGGTTATTTGAGTGTTAATCCCCCCCCCCTCTTTATTTTTCTAATGGTTCCTGAATTTGATTCGACATCTGTAGCTTCATATGGGTACACTCCAGAGTCGGTTGGATGCAGAATTCCTCTTGGCTCACATGTGCTCTGTCAAATTTAAAGAATGGATTGTTCTCCTTGCCACTCTGTTGAGAAGATCCGAGGTATAACACATAACTTGATGTAGTATTTGAAGTCAGTGTAAACATATAGGGTTATTGCGTTTTGATTTTGACTTCGTTTAAAAAAGTCCTGCTTGTAATTGTGACTCAGAGCGCTATTTATGTAATCAAGTATCTTTGATTGTATTATATAATTGAATTGCATTTGAAGGCAAATGATAGGGTTATTCCACTTTCTGTCTTGGGGTAGTGCCTCTTGTTCTATGAGACAGTACAGTTTGTCTTAAAGAATTCATCTGAACATCCTCAGGTACTCTTTGATTTATTTCGGCATGATGCGCGTCTTTGGAAAGCATATTGCATCACTCTTCAGGTATGCTTCTTTGTGACAACAAATATGGATTACATCAAACTTCTGTTGTGTATAGAATCAATTTTTTTTTTTTGACGGGATGTATAGAATCATTATAAGGGAAGGATAGAGATTCAGATTAATATATAAGTGGTATAATACTCCGCATACAAGTTAGAAAGAAACATGGGAAAATACTTGCATATGCATCCTTCTCACTCTAAAACTTCTCACTGTCCAAGGAAGAAATGCGGTGAGAAAATTTTTAAAATGAGAAGGATGCATGTTCATTTTTTATTTTTTTATATTTATTTTATTTTTATCAAGCGGAATTATTTAAGGAAAATAAATCTCTGACTAACGAAAAAGATGCACATTTTGTTAAAGAAAATTGCATGTCCTATTTGAGTTGAAAAAAGTAATAAAATTATGCACATGGAAACCTCTCATTTGTCCCTTCACAATACAATGAATACATTTATAGATTTGATACTTATTAGACCATCATCGGAATTGAATCACAAAACTTTCCTAAAAAAACAAATATACTATGAAGCCACAAATATATTTCTCTGAGCCTTGTTGGTATCCTTAAAACATGCATATCCTAACAACCGGTAATTCAATTGTTGGTATCTTACTGTTTCCTTTGTTAATGTAGTCGCAACCAACATTTGCTGAGTACCATGATTTGGTTGAAGAACTGGAGGAAAGGCTCTCATCTGTTCCAAATTTTCAGGAGATTTGACGCCAAATTTGTAAAGTCGTAAGCTTTCATCCAACGTAGTTTCATAGGCTTTGAGGGTGTTATTAATCCTTGTTGGTGTGGTACCTAGGCAAAGAGCCTTACTACCTTAAATGACATTTTCCACTTTATAGGGTTACATTTCTTTATTATGTGTAGGAGCAGCAATAGTGTATCATTCATTCTTTGGTTTTCCCCTGTAACATTTTTGGTCGTTGCAGTTATAGTAGAATTATAGCATCCTCCGCGGTTGTACATAGAAGCTAGAAGCTAGGATGCAGCCATGAAGACTGTGATTGCTCCTGGCAGTTGACAAGCCTGGATCAATATATATCGTTTGTTTACCTCTGTTTTTGTATTTATTGATAGAGTATGGATGTTCCTAATAAGATTTATAGGCTCCATATTCTATCACTTTTGCCATGTATAAAATATAATCTTCAGTTAAATTTCACCTTGTTTTAGAGGTGAGACGCTAAAAAATTCATTCTCTTACGATATAACCAATCTCTCAATTATGTAAAAATATAACATATACTGATTATTAGTGATCTTCAACAATACTTCATAAAAATACTTGTATGTATCATCTTAGGGGGCCAAGGAAACAATGAACCCTTGATGTTGCAATTAGTAGAGAATGGAGGAAGTGCTTCGTATATGACTTTCATACATAGTAGATTAGTTCATGTCGATATGTTGTCACAAGTTCGGATAGAAAAAGCTAGAATGACAGGCAAAAGACAAATGTAACTTTGTTTTCATTAACTACGTTATGAAGGTTGGATTCACACTCAAATGGTGGAAGTTTACATTATTCTTCCATTTATATTTGTACAGGAGTAGAACAATCCGTATATATGGTATTGATTCAGAAACTACATAACGGAGGTACGCCATATAAACTAAGAGGAGAAACTGTAATGGAACTGCAGATTCTTCTAGCTTCAAAGTTAAATATGTTGCGCATCACACTATCACACCAGAAGTAAACCAGACTCAAAAGTTGTTGCTCTTCAGTTGCAGCCGAGTTGAGGTTGGCGACTTACCAACTAAAACTGATTGATTCAAAATGCAGATTGTCCACCAAACCAGATCCACATATGGCTGCAACTTCGTGTCTCAGCCCTGCTGGACCGCTAGCAAGTACTCCAACGCTCGAGTCCTTACAATCGAACAGCAATCCTGCACAAGAATAAAGGGTCAGATTTTGGCTTTGTTCTATACACCAAATTAACAAGTTTACGTATTTTTTTTTCAGATAAAAGTTAGCATAACAGTGTGTAATACATTGTATTCAGAAATCATATGTTGAGGAGTAAATATAATATGAAGGTAATTTAGCTTACTCTTGAGATCAGGCCTTTCACCAAAGTGAATTTCTGTGGACTCAAGGATAGACTGATGAGGAAGGCTCTCAAGCTCTCTGTCAGAGTTATAGAACCGTGATTCTGGTGTTGCCTGTGGCGTTATACCTTCCATGTTCGTAATTTGCTTGGCTTCCATGGCGTTTCTTTTCTTGTTCCACAGGAATGCACCACTGGCTGCCACAACCATACACCCACAGAGTATCAATGCAGTAAAGATCGTTCTTGCAGCTGAAGGGAAGATGTCATTTGTGTTATGATCAATAGGGTAGATGTAGTATTGCGTAAGTATCCCCATGAAGATGAGGAATCCAAGGAATGATGACGCGATTATAGCACCAAGCCAAAGCCAACCATTCTTGCCTAAGTTAGGAGTAATAGGTGAATCAGATGCATTTGGCTTGAACCAAATGGCTTGCGGTTGCTTTAGGTAATCTTCGCTTTGTACTTTCTCTCTTGTTACATAGGCCTTGATCTGTAGGTCTATGCTTGAAAGATCCGAGGTGGTGCTAGAGAGCGGGAGGAGGAGATTCAACATCGAAAGACCAGAGGATTTCTTGAATGAGGAAACAAGAAGGATTTTTGGGGTTTGGCATTTCATAGTGGTGCTTATAAAGAGAAGTTCCTGAATAATGGAGATGAATGGTGTTATGCCGCTGCCTCCACTCACCAACACAAGTGTATCGTGCCTGTAACCACAATAAATAATTAATTGACATCATGAATCAAATAAACTTCATCTGATTCTTACTGAATTGAAATTAATTTTACGGGTTAAATTGATTCTTACTAACCTTAGAAAATGGTTAGAGGCAGGTCCATAAGGTCCTTCAACTGAGACTTGAAGACGATCAATGGAAGAAGTAGAAACAATGTCGTAAAGCTTCCTAGACCATTTCCCTTCAACCTTGATTACAACACTAATTTTGTCTTGCTCCAAGTTACTACTAGAACTAACAGTAAAAGGGTGCCATTGGAGCTTGGAAATGCTTGGTACATTGACAAACATTATGCTAGTAGGATTGTAACTCAAACTCATGCTTTTGGCGAAGTTGAGCTCAAGTGCTTCACAAGACAAGACACGAGCAGATAGCAATCGCACACATTGGCTCGATTGGAGGTATCGCAAGTAACGATCAATCATGAAGAGGTAGAAGCCAGGAAGCATGTAATAAGAATAGCCGATGCCTACATGAAAGAAGAAGAATACGACGAAGAGGATGTAGAGGTAGTGAGCGTAGAAGAAGACCTCAAAGAACTTCCTTCGAATTCGAGGGTATGTTGCTGCCCATAAGATTAGTCCAAAGAACAAGGATAGTTCTCCTGCTACATTAGATACATCTGTTTTACTCCACTTCAAAGCCTGCATAGTTTTGACATTGTTAATTTTAGATTATAAACTGAATTTGCAGTAAGTTTTGAGGTCCAAAACCAAAAGTATAGCAACTAGCAACTATTTTGTAACGTGGGAAACAAATTCATATCATCATATGCAAAACTAAATGTCATCTCCAAAACTTGTAATACTTTCAAGTGTTTAGATAGTTGGTAAATTCATCAAGGTAAAGTACTTATATTATGTCAAATTTTCTTTCCCTTGGACTTGGGATTTACAAAAATACCTCGAAAAAGTCAAAAAGTGTACCATAATTACATTAGTCAAAGTATAATAAATGAAATTTGGTTTATTTATCATCATAACTCGCTAGGTTTAAAAGTCTCTCAGTAACTTTATACTGATTGTATGATCCTATAATTATGTCAGTATAAAAAATCTTTTGGGTTAACAAACTTCATATCCTAATAAAAAAATTGATTTTTTTTTTTTCGATAAAATTTCCAAAAAAAATTATCAAGGGCAAAAAAGGAAGAGCAAAACTAAACTCTCACTAATGTGAATGTATGAACACCGGCCCATGTGGTAATAGGAAAAACGGACCACTTACAAATTTACATGTACAAGAAAAATGGGGTCCACAATGGCACTTCCAATAGTCCAAGAAAAGGGGATGTTATCGTTAAAAGCCCACCACTATTTTTGGGCTAAATCTGCAATTACATCAGTTGTGCTTCTTCTCCACTGAGTTTATGTTGTTGGATTCTTGCCTATGATTGTGATTCAAACACGATTCTTTATTCTTATCATGTACTGTTTCCCAGTCTTATGTTCTTCACTTACTAAATTCTATGTATCCAAATTCACCGTTACCATACACGTCCCATGATTTTTAGGTCCTACCATTTTAATATGATCTTGTTTTAACACTAGTGTTTGATTTGTACTTCCTACAGGGTACATGCATGATCGATTGATAATGGTCTTATTTGACAATTGATTTTAACTTGTCGACTTAACTTGGCTTGTTTGATTAGTTTGATAGTTTACCCATATTATCATGAGAGTAGAATGGATAGCGTAGAAATTACCTGAGAGATTTCCCCTGCAATAGCCCAAAGAGGGATATAGCCTAGGCCATGAGCAGTGAAGAGTGCCATAGTTAGATGGCCTAGCCAAATGTGATATTTAATGCTTCCTTCCGAGGTTAACCCTAACAAGGGTAATATGGATGATCCTCGAGTCACTGGGTAGAACAACAATGATAAGCATATGTTACCCGTTAGCCCTAGCCTAAACACCGTTGCTTCCCACTTGTACAAGTATCTGCAAAACACGTCCATCAAGTAAATTTTGATAGTATAATGTGAGTTATATTAGTCATACTAATAAAATTTTACAAAGATCAGCCAAAGTAGACAAGTAGTCATGTTAATTTTGAAAACTGTCATCTATAAAATCTTGTTAATGGTTTTTAAAAAGCGGAATTTGAAGGTGAAAATGTGCATGAATCTCATGAGAAAAGTAAGTTACCTTTGGCTTCCCTTGACTTGGATTTTAGAATAACCAACATGCAAGTACACAGTCAAGGACCAAACGAGAAACGCGATGAACATCAACAGAAATGACAGTTCTACCCCTGAGACTATCCCTAACGGTCCTCTTACAAGCACTGGCCTTCTCCACGTTGCTAACCATCTTGTAATACCACTACTTTTCCCGTCTTTCCTGTTAACACCAATTAACATATTAAACTTTCATTAATTAAGAATTCTTCTTACGTTACTAAGGTTCAAAATTTTAGAGAAATAAATCAAGAGGATTTTTATCACATATAGCAAATTTTTTTATTATTTCTTTTATATTAATTATGGAATAGGTATAAAGCTATACCCGTCATTTTCTCTCATATACTTATTTCAGTTTCTTGTAAGCATGAATATTTAAAATGGCGATGTTAAATGTCACAACTGATTTGATATGACAACTAAATGTTGTCACAATCTTGTGTGACACTCATTTATTGGTATCACGTAAGATTTAACTTATTAGTATTTTTATACTATCAAATTAAAGATTTTCCCAAAACAATGAGAATATTGGTGATAGATATATAATCATACTTAGAGTATATATACAACAATGAGTATACAAATGGTAAAGGGAATGAATAAAGTGAAGAACAAGTTTAATGATTTTATGAAGAACAAAAATAAATTTAAAAATTGTAAGAATTATTCATTCACTCATCATATGTCATTATACATAAAATTAAACAACATACATTATTCAGTTTTACCCCCTCAAAATACTTATTTACTATGTTTCCAAGGGAATAATCTTTCGATAAAATCCAAATTAGGATGTACTCTTAAAAATCTCTCATATATGGTAAAGAGTCTCGGATTTCATTCCTTATAAATGATAAGGCCTTTTTATTAGTATCATTTTTTATTACCCACCGCATCATAGACCATGTAAAATTGTGACAATTTTTTTTTTTTTTTTTTTTTGGTAAAAAATTATGACATTTACCATTTTTGTAATTATATGGTTAAACTTGTTAGAAAAAATAAATAGATCGTCCCCTAAAAAAAATCATCTTTTAATGAAAAATCTTACATTAATGTTTTTGTTAAACAATTTCTTCAAAAATTGAATTTGTTATGATAATTTTACATTTTAAACTTAAATTTATTTGCAAATTTGACTAAGAAATTAAAAAACATTCATTCCAAGCTTTTATGTTACTAAATGATTAAATGAAACTCCCTTTCAAAAAAAAAAAAAAGAAAATAAAAATTATAAGTTGAATCTAATTATAATAATCATAAGTGAATGAGCTAGTAATGAGTGATATTCTTCAGTAATTAGACGGTCCCACTTAATCACTTACAAAATTAGACAATGATTTTCAAAAATATATTTTTCAATTTTTTGTGGTAAGAGAGGATCACCTCTAATTTTGTGATAAAGTAAAAGAGAGTGAGATCGAGTAGAAAATCTCTTGATATTCTTCTCGATTGTATATGTTTTTTTTTTGTAAGAAAAATAGCAAAAAAAAACCAACCTTGGCACTTGATAATCAAGATATTTCTTCCCCAAATGATGGTACACGGATCCTAGAACCGCAATGAAGAGAACAGGAAATACGAAAATCAACAACGATGTACCTGCAAAATTATTACCACCCTCATAATCAAAACTTTATGTTATCTTTACATGCATGCATGCATGCATTCAAATTTAATTAATGTAACATAATCGAGTAACATATAAAACCGATACATTTAAAAATAAACGGAGGGAGTAATATTACCTTGAGTACCAAAATAAGTCGAGGTTAAGGTTGCGGACATTTTATTCCTCCAATTATTTCTGTAAAGATTAGTAGGCATAACAATCCATATCACAAAATAACCCAACATTACCACCGTTAATACAACCATTATCACTTTTCTAATTTCCTTCATTTCTCCTTCACCTCCATTATTATTATTATTGGTTGATGATTTTCTCTCAACTCTAACGTCCGCCATTTTTAATTTCTCTCTCTACAATCTCTTTCTCTCTCTAAGATTTTGATTTTGTTGTGTTTCTAAAATGTAGGATTTTAGATCCATTTATATAGGGAGAAAATAAGAGCGAAAAGGGTGTTTTGTTTAATATATTTATTTTTATTGGAACTAAGTATTACAAGTAGTTTTTTTTAGTCCAAGACCCAAGTAGTATTTTTTAAATTTTTTTTTTTTTTGGTGGATGTATATTGCTATGTTAAGGGGCATGGTTCACGTAACAAAAACATTCCCTAATATTGTAAGCGATATAGATTACGTGATAGAATTAAGAGGTAATTAATTGATTATATAGTTTTGACGTTTATTAAGTCAAACTTTAATATGTACACTTTCACTGTAACTCGCTAGATTTTGTTTGATTAGTTTATCTAAAAAGAAATTAAAAATATAATTGTGCTTCTTTCTATTTGATTACCTCATTTGTATTCGAATTCATCACCCTATTAGCTTTAACTATAGCTCATAATCCAAAAAGCAAGTTTCATGCGGCCATTTTTTTGGGTGTGAATGATCAAATTATCTACTGCCTAGTGTCTCTATAATTTTGCACTAGTTTGTGTTCAATCTAACTATTTTTTAATTCGATTTTTCAAGAAATTATATTATATATATTGTTTTTAATATCTTCATATTATGGAGTAAATTACAAGAAAACATGATTTTATCATCACAAAGTCACAAACCCATTGAAAACAGTTTTAGATTAATTATTTTAACTGTAACGATTTGTTTTTTATTTAAAAAAACTACTCCGTATAATCTAATTTAGATTATTACTTTTGCAATTTTTTACAAAAAAAAAATACAGAATAATATTAATGATAAAATCACTCGTTGCTCGGTATTATCAAATATTGTATATTATATTTATGCTTTTATTATCTTCTCATATACTCAAGACATCCTTTAAGATTTCATCAAATATGCAATTAATTGCTATGAATCAATACAATATTAGAGTCTATGTGTAACAAAACTAAAAATGAGTTAGTTGTAACTTAGCAACGTAAGAAACATAAAGCTGTCAATTTCTATGGTTGTCTAAAGTCGAAAATCAGGAGATGCTGAGCAGTGTCCACTCAGTTCAGTATACACTTGTTTTTTCTAATTTTTTTATTATTCTTATTTTTTTAAAGTAGTGTACACTTGTTTATAGTCGTTTCCCTCCGCCCCTTTTCGACCTGTTGTTTGCTTAACAAAAGTTTTTACTATATTAAGTTTTGGTTGTATGAATTAACGTCAAAAAATAATTATAAGATTAAAATTATAGTATTTTTAATTTAGTAAAAATAATTTCAATTCAGTAAAGTGAACGGGGCCTTAGTAAATGTGATAGGAAAGTATTATCTTTTATGGCTGTTTATGATTTGTAACAAACTCAAAAAGGTGTGAAGGGAGTAACAAGCAAATTACAATTTTGTTATTATAGGAAGCAATTTTAAAAATTAGGATATCCATTATGATTGACTTTTTAAAGAAGGGGATATTCATACTCACTAAATTTGGCTAATGATTCGTAAAGTGGGGCAAAAAGAATTATGTTTGACCTTTAGCAAAATTTTAATTAATTAATTTTATTTATGTTGGTGAAATTAGTGGCTCTAATTTTATTTGTTATATTATTCAATTCGCGTGTGTGCTCGTGTCGGTTTCGTCTTTATGCGTGGTGGACCATATTAGATGTGTGTCTTCTTGTGGCATCTCTTGTTACAATATACATAGATATCCTCTACTTGCATTTTAATTATCTTTCCTCTGTATTTTAATGGAGTACTTGTATTATTTAAACCTTTTTACAGTATATATATACAATACATTTTTTATTATAATAAAATATTGTTGTATAAAGTCCTGTTAAATTTATCTTGATACATATACATCATAGTATGATAATACAGAGTATTAATCTTAACACACTGCATTATGAAAGCTTTCAAATTAAACTAGATGCCTGTCAATTCTTTGTGAACAACTAAACATTAGCGAAGAATCCTTGCAAAACCTAAAATCTGGTTCAGGAACTCTGGATGAATGTTTAAACGAAAGGCAATAAAACAATTTGAAGAAACATAATTTAGTTATTTCCCTTGTCAAACAAATCCAAGTTATACCTTGTACGTCTCTTATCCTTAATTCCTTATTCAGCTATGCCACTTTACTACTACAAGTCTACAACATATAGCCATATAGGCATATAGTCGTACACGAAATATATTATACAAGTATTAAAAGTTTCTCGCGGGAGGAGGGTCTTGAAGCATTCCTTTTTCCTTTAGCTTACACGAGACATCCATTACAGTTGGTTTTCATTCATATGCCTTCTCCAATCACCATATACTCCGTATTACAATCAAAAAACAAGATCAATAATCTCGGAAAAAAGAAAAGTTTGTTAACATTATACGAATTATCAACAAAATATAAATAGCTATGATCAGAAGTTCTTCACAAATACAATTTACTTACATAACTGAAAGAGAATCAGTCCAAGCATCCAAATCCTTTCACATCTAGCAGTGCCTGAATCAAAATTTTCCGAGGTCCCATACTCGACCTTCTAACAAGACCAGGACTTGCTAAGTTACGGATGTAGCAACATATATGGATACATTCACCTCCAAAAAGACTCCAATTTGAAAAATTATAAATAGGTAGACTTCAAACTGACTTCAGAAACATCCACAGGCAATGGAGACCATGCCACAGAATCACGCACAGCCATGAATCTTTTACGCAAGACCACAGATGCAGCAACCAACAGCCCTACTGCAGCCACAAGAAGCACCAGAAAACTACTATTTCCTCCCCTACATCTCATGATTGAATTCGCAGATACCATTCCATCAAGGCTATGTAGTGAGTTGCTCATTTTGAAGACTTCTATTCCATTCAGTAATGCATCAACCCCAGAAGGAGAGCTCCAATTCGAATGCCCAATACTAACAGAAACAACCCCGTTTTCTCCATTGACAACGAAATCAGCATAGTAAGGAGAAGCCAAACTATTTGTAATCGTCGTTAGATCCAAGTTTTCGATAGCCATATCCCCATTAACATACACATTGAAATACAATGATCCAAGCACAGGACTAGCAATGTCACAAAAATGAGTCCTCACAAGATACTTGTACCCATCAACAATTGGAAACCCCCATGCCAAATACTCCTTAGCAACACCGGGATTCGAAGCACCAATCGCCCTCGCGCTGTTATACACATTATCAGGGGCAACCTCGCGGCTCGCTCCTCCCAACTGATACTTAATTCTACCACCAAAATGAACCTCTTTAGACCCATGGTCTGATTCTAAGAACCCATCATCAGTAACCCATGTTCTCCACAAAGTATCGTTAAAAGGGGTTACTTTAGAACCACCAACATTAACCCTAAACATAGTTTCAAAAGCATTTCTGGAAATTCCATCAATTTTAACCACCCCATTAGAATCAACAAATTGGGCAATGTCCGATATCAAATCTTTAGGCGCAGAAATAACTTCAATTGCATTGACAAAACCAAATTTAGATTTCTTCAAAGGTTTGAACAAAATTTCAAGGTTATTACTATCAACCCACAAAATATACTCTCTAATTTCAAGTGATTTCATGGTCAACCCACTAAATTCATTCAATAACAAATACCCATCAGCTAAAACATGAAATTGAGCATCAGAAAGATCGAATTTCGATGAATCAAAGCGGTGAAAATGAAGACGTACCAAATGGACACCTTTCTCTTTGATCTGAAACGCATATTTTGAAGGTTTTCTGAAGATTCTGACCGAGTTGTAAAGAGGGGAGACATGGTCTAACTCAGTAAGTGGGATCGTCCGAGATGCAGAGAGTCGAACCGAGTGAGGAAGTGACGAATCGTCGCCGGAAAACTTTCGATTGTCGGAGTCGGTGGTTAAAGGGGCGTCGGAGCCGGCGTTGATTAGGTAATGATCGGTGGGAGTAAAAGAAGAAGAAGCTTCGAAAAACAGCTGAAGGAGGAGGAGGAGAGAGAAAATGGGAAATTTAGGGAGATTCGCCATTGCAGAGAGACAAGAAACAGAGACAAGAAACAGAGACAAGAAGAGTCAGAGGAAAGAGGGAGAATTATTGCGAAGGAAAAGAAGAACAGAGCTCAGAAAAACACGGATTTAATTAAGATTAATTAACTTTTCGGTTTATACGCGTTGAACATTCAGACAGCTATTTCTGGGTGTGACTCTGAGTGGGTTGGGTGGTAGGTGAAAATGGTGTACCACTGTACCTGATACCCGGGAATTTTTAGCCTGTTAGGGGTGTAAGCGAGGCGAAATATGATAGACCCAACACGACTTGGCTCAATGTATTACAGTGTGCTTCAATGACATATGGGCATGATGTCATGAGCCATCACCCAAGCCACCTAGCATTATTGGGCAATGGGGCGTGGGCGTGGCTGTGGCCTGTGAGGCACCTATCCATGGTTATGGGCTCATAGCATATAAAAACACATAACATCATAAACTAACGCTTTTCAACTCGGGCCAATGGTGATAGTATAAACCAATGTTAAAGCTTTCAAAACCCTATCTTGTTATACGTACTTGTAATCAATTGTTATCCTTGTAATGATAATGAGCATCATCCGAGGTCAATCACATCTAATTTCGGAGAGAATAAGTATGTTGTCACAATTAATTCCAAATATAGTGAGTATATTCATTGGTATGACTCGGTCGTTTAAGCGACTTCAAATTCACATAAGATACATGAAAAGTTATTGTGACATTTTAAAGGCAATAAAACGAAGTAATGCAAGAGTCTAATTATTTAATTAGCTCATTAGTGATAGTTGAGCACTTGAGCAAACAAAGTTATCAAGTATAATAGAGTAATTAGAGGTGTCAATTCGGATAACCAGATGGAGTTTGGGTTAATCCATGACGGGTCGGGTCTATTCGGATCGGGTATATTCGATTTAAAAGTACCCTTTTAACCCGCCTCGTGTCGGATTCGGTCACTTTCGGGTTGGGTCAAATTCAGATCAAGATCTATCAGGTCTAGATTAGTTCATATTCGGTTCGAATAAATTTGGATCGGGTTCAAAACGGGTTTGACCTGGTTAATTTTGGGTCGGTGGACTTTGAACGGGTTCACTGATTCCAATTCGATTGATTTCGTTTATGTTAAGTTCAGTTTGATTACCAAGGTTGATTATTATAAGGTCAATTCTGATTCAGATACTTTTCGTGTTTGGCTGATATTTTGGTTGGGTTGACCAATGTCACATACAAATAAGTACATTTTTAAAACTAGAGTAATTATCGATTTTTTTTATCTTGTTATTGGGTCAACATCAAGTCATTTATATGCCATTTTCCCATATCGTGTCATTAATATTATATGTTTAAATAAAAAAAAGGTAAATAATAGGTTGGGTTTAAAATTATGGTTGGTTTGAAATCAGGTCAGGTTAAAATCGGTTCGGGTTAATACCAGTTCGGATAAAAAACAGATCGGATTGAATCGGGTATTTGACGGGTCAATTTGTGTTCGGATTGAGTTCAAGTCGGGTCAAACTGGTTCGGTTTGAGTTCAAGTCGGGTCAAATCAGTTTTTGGTTGAGTTCAAATCAGGTTAAATCAGTGCCAAGTTAAGTTCAAATCGGGTCAAATTCGGATTCGGGTTGAGTTTAGTCTGGTTACATATCGGGTTTGGGTCTTGAATTTCTCGGATCAAATCAAATCGGTTACAGTGTGAAACGGATGGTTTTTTTTGGATCGGTTCGATTTTGACACCTCTTATCAATCCAACTTGATCAGAAACAAAAAATGGTAAAAGAAAGAATTCAATTACTGCAACTAAGCTGTTTGATTAGAGTAATGAGCAACAAGTCATATGTGTACCTCTTCTCCTAGATGCAAAATTGATACATTAGCTTTACAAATACACTACTTGAAATTCTTTGAATTTCAGCCAGCTGTAATTTATGTCACAATGCAGTGTGGATGCCAAATTGGCAAAAATGAATGAACTAGTACCAAACTGTGACTCCAAGCCTTCAGTTTACTTCTGGTCCAATTCTCCAAGCGTGAGTTTTACTAGGGCTTCACCTCTCTTTGCTTAATAAAGTTACTGATAATAATCATCTCATTCTCGTATCAAATCTTACTAGAGTAGAGTCGCCGGAATGTTATTTGTACCAGCCAACTAGGAGCCACCATAACAAGAAACAAAATCCGCAAGAAATAGCCTGTGGAGAAGGATATGTCATGTTAATGCAAAATAGATGTTTCAGATGAAAACAATGGGACCTTCAGCAGACCCTTTTCGAGGGAGAAGACTGGTCTTGGTTTAAGTGGTGACTAGGCCGAGGATTCCTGCACAACAAACACACGTGAACTAGCCTCGGGGGTGGTTGCCGAGGAAGGCCCCTCCGATGTTACCCGATGTTATAGTCAGTTCAATGTGGGAAGAAGAAGCTATGCAAGAGAATTAATTGCTTGAGGCTTATTGTGAGTGACCGATAAATGAGACAATTGATGACTTTTATACTTTTGCTCAATAGAGGAGGATTGGGCCCTTGAAGTCAGATGGGCTTGCCATGCTGCTGGGTTTGATTGACTTTAACATGCTTTGGAGAGTTGAACCTTGCTTTGAGCTTTTGTAATTAAGTCATTTGGGCCGGCCCAATTAGGTTAATCGAATTGGACCCAAACAAATGTGTCATGTTAATATCTATCACTGGCCAAAAATGCATAAATTTGTTGCAATGAACCCCTAAAGTAGTACGAGTAGTCGAGTAGTATATATAAATTTTCACTAATTTAGAAATAGGTTACAAAGGAGCTAGTAGCCTCACCTGGATAGAGAGAAGAACAATGCAGAGTGATTGTTCAGACATTTTTCCAAAACGTCTCAAACAAAAGTTCACAAGTGTCCCGTTCTTAGTCCCTGTTAAAAGTCCTGTTTGAGGGTCAAATCTGGTGGTATTCAAAATATTGTCAGATGAGGTAGGAAAGACTATGTATGAACTAGGGCTTGAGAAAATAGATTGAAACGATTACCTTGGAAGACGGTGTCGAGGACAAGGAATAATTCCAGCAATCTGGTAACAAGTAAGTCATAAAAAACATATTAAGCAATGCTCAAGGGCAGATTGTCAGATTATGAGGAGAATTGAAGAGAGGAGAAGCAAAACTAACCCGGGGAATTGACAGGATAAAATTGATGACTTGAGGGGCAAAGAAAATCAATAGTGTTTCACTGCTAAATCCACAGAGAATCAGAATATTACTCTTTCCAAACAAGCATATATGCAAAATGAGTCTTTCTCCTGAGATAATGCATGAATTACTTTATGTTTGATGATATATAATGGTAAACCATCTAACAAAATGACTTCATATGCATACTTTTAATTCTATCTTTTCACACATCAAACAGGTAGTAAACTCGTTAAGCATTCGATCAAAGAAACTGAAGACGGCTTGCTAGGCAATTACACAATGGATATTGCTCTCATCATAGACATGTTTCTAGAAGCGTGCATCTTATACATGAATACATATGCCTGTCCAAACTTGAAAGCAATTTCTCAGGTGTGTAGCTATTCCTAGTTAAGGTTTCGACCATAAAAGTACAAGTTACCAAGTAATTAAACAATATAGATGAGATGGTGTAGTTTCAATAACAAAAGAAAGCTATTTCACCTGAAGTGACCCAGAATTCCAGCAAAGTATATATATGTATCCCCAACAAAGATTGCAGACGGATACCTGAACACCGCGTCAAAGAAGGATCTCAAACAAAGTAACATAAAAGATGCCTCAAGTATATAACACCAGTCATTTAGCCAGTGAAATAATTACCAGTTGTAAGAGAGTAAAGCCAAAGATGTAGCAAACAAAGGTTGAATAAGATGAATAGAGAATAGATGAGCCAGCTGATACTCAGAATTTCCCGTGGATGCTACAATTTGCAAGATATTATGTATCAGAATCTGTCATGCACTCGATTGATCAGACTGTATAAAAATTACAACAATGTTTGTAGCAAATTCAAAAGATTATAGGCTTACTGCAGATGCAATGATTACTGTCTGCCCAACTTCAAGACCATTTATACCGGCATGAACATTAATAGAATTAGTGCAAAACACTGCCAGAAGGCACATATACAGTTAATACATTGATCCTGCATACATATAGAAGGGCAGCAGGCAATGTCAAATTAGTAGATGTCAAAAGCCACAACAACACAAGATAAAATTGCTTAACATTCGATCCAACTAATTACACAAGGTTTCACCTAGATCCAATGACTCGAACCCAATATGTGGAATGAGAGGCTTTGGGATTACAATGGTTGTATGACCGGTATAAGCCATCAACAGAGGAAGAGCAGCAACTAAAGGCAAGACCAGTTTCCTGTATGCAAAAGAAAATTTTAACACCTACGAGTAAATGGCAATTTTATCACGAAACTAATGATGTAGAATAGTATTTGTAAACAAGATTGATACTTACATTCTCCATGGAATGTCAAGAACGTCGTCAACAAATCCGAGCAATATCATGAAACAGATTGATGTCAAAGCTGAATTATACTGAACTAGCCACTACAAAAATTATTAATTATTCATTAGTACGACACATTACAAAATCCGTCTCTACATTAAAAGAGATGTTTCTAAATCAAAACTTACAGTGGAATCGGCAATGAAGTTTAATCGCCACGCCCAAAAACACAATCACGACGGCCAAAAACACTATCCCAACAACTATACCCAAGGATTCAGGTCTGCAAATCAATACAAACACATCATTACATCAATCATTATAATTAGGACAAACCTTTTACACAGCAACATGGCATCAATTAATTTACACGAGATAGTCAAAACAAATACTCCACATTTAAGTCAAGTTAAAACTGGGAATTGTGTGAGAAGTCAAAGTGTAACACTTATTTTAAAAAAAAACGAGCTTTTATTCACAGGTAATAAATCGAACCCAGGTATTAATAAGTACGGAGTACAAATTTAAATTAAGATACGAAAAAACTGGCACTTTAATGTTTCCTTGGGGAGTGCCAGCCTTATTAAGATCAAACCCAAACAGATTGCGACGAACCAGGTAACGAAAAGCGACGAGAATCATTCTCAGGGTTGTAAGAAATCCGACGAAACTGAAAGCGCCATTCATGAGTATGGATCGCTTCAATTCTCGTCGTCGTTTCTCAACAGAAGGTAAACATATGGGAGCAACCAAATTGAGGAAACACCCACAATTTTGGATTTCATAATTATGTATTCGGAATGTGTTTTTTGAGTATACACCTAACGGGAGAATAAAAGTAAACGTATGTTATGGGATCCAGAATTTTGAGGAGGTTCTTGCAAAATAAATAACACTGTACGGAGTAGATTTTTGATATTTATATAGAGAAAAATTTCCTTAGTACGTAGTATATTTTTCGATTTGGAAAGTGTATTCTATCATGAATTGCTATATATGCCTTTTCTTAAACTAGTCTTAAACTTGTGCAATACACGGGTGTTTAATGTTTTATAATAATTGTTGGAAAAATTCATGGAAATAATCCCACCTTTAGGCCATTTGTTTTTAATAGTCCCACCTTTAAGTTATTTTTTAATAATTCCACCTTTACTCCCATTCTTTTTTATTGGTCTCATTTAAACCGGTTGATGAGGTAAATTTTTATTTATTTTTGATTAATTTACACGTGGCATTACTTAATTGGTCACAAAAAAAAACCCAAACCCAATTCAGCCACCATCCCCACCAGACCCGAACTCCAAAACCACCCCACCAGCCTCCCCCCTCCCCCGCCCCGATTCCGACCACCCAACGCCGGCGCCGCTTAACCCCCTCTCCTAAACCACCAACACGCCAAACCCTCCCCCGAAATCCCAGCCAGCCAACCCCTCCCCCTAAACAACGCACCACCATCCTCATCAAAGTGAGCACACACTAGTGGGTACGGTCTGGTTGTGATGGCGTTTGATAGGCTATTGAGGGGCTACCGCTGTTTAATTGTTGTTAGTGGTGCGGCGTTTGGAGGTGGGTTAGGCGGTTTGTGTGAGTTAGATTGGGTTGCTGACTCGAAGCAGGCTGCGTGATTGATGGTTGTGGTTTGTAATTTTTGGTGTTGCATGGTTGTTGAGTTGCGGTGGCTGGCTGATTCGGTGCTGCTTGGGGTGCGCGACTGATCTGGTTGTGGTTGGGGTTATGTGGGATAGCTGGTGGCTGGTGATGTGGTTGTGGGGTTGTAGCTTGTTGTTGTTGCAGGTTGTTGTTGATGAATTAGAGGAGCAGGGAGCTGAATTGCGTGAGTGGTGGTTTATGCTCTGGCGGTTATGGAGGGAAGAAGGGAAAGGGGAAGGGGAATTAAAAAAAAAAACTTTGTTATAACAGGTTACATGACCGGTTGGACCAATAAAAAAGAATGGGGGTAAAGGTCGGATTATTAAAAAATAATCCAAAGGTGGGATTATTAAAAACGAACGACCCAAAAGTGGGATTATTCCCATGAATTTTTCCATAATTGTTTTTGAATTTTTATTTTTGCTCAGTATTTTATTTTCATATAAGAATAGTACTCCGTAAAAAATATTTTAATAGTAGTGTTAAATAAGAACTCCGTATTTTAAAATAACTAATTAAAAAAAAAGTATTTTAAAAGTAAAACATAGTTAAAAGTCTATCAAAACTTAAAAAAAAAAGAAAAAAAAAGAAATAAAAAAAAGGTATGTCATATTGTGAAAAACTGTATCTTATAGCCGTTTAGTCGAACTTGCAAATTTTATTTTTCAATATTAATATTTTTTAACTTTCTCAATTATTAGTATTCTATAATATGCATTGCATATATGTAAGATTTCTTTAACTTCCTTTTTCTTCTGCCATACGCAATATTGTGACTTATAAGAGCAGATAAGTTTTGAGCCTCTAACTATACCATTCTTCTGCCATATATAAGCAGTATCAACCATGCATGCAAAAAAACCAAAAAAAAAGTAAAAAAAATAAATCATGTATTCCCCAGTACAATATACATAAGAGGGCTACAAATTAAAATTTTCCAAGTTATTATTAAAATTGCATTATACACCAAATTGAACAAATAGGCTCACCTAAACATAATCTGCAGCCCGCTTTAATCTTCACTTTCACTTTTAACCCACAATCACCTTTGTGCAAATTAAAAATAACAATTTTGTTAAATTTCAAAAACAAATTGATCATACATAATAACATAATTGAAACTTAATATATGAATATATATATATTGGAATGAAAAGTAGAATGAACTTACTATTTTCAATAGGGTGATGGGCCTATGAACAATTAACTTCCCTTTATAAAAAAACACTAATCTTTCATAAAAAAAATAAAAAAATAAAAATAAAAAAACACTAATTTTGGGTTTAGCATCATGTATTTACATTATAAAAACAAACTGAAATGACACCTTTGTAAGTTAGAGAACACTTTTTCACACAATTCTATACTAATATTTTATAACAGGAAATTTAAAGGACACTTGTCCTCTTACTGCGTTTATGATTTTTGTTTTGTTTTTTTTTTTTTTTTTCTCTTTTGTTTCAACTAAAGTGTAAAAAAAAAATATAAAAAAAAAACCAAATAAAGAAAAAAAAAACAAAAAACTCCTTAATGATTTAATCCTAATCCTATATATAATTAATAATAGTTTATCCTCCCCCTCTCTAACTTTTTACGCTTTCTCCACCCTAACCCTACCATTTCTCTATTTGATCCTAAATCTATAATTTATATTAAGTAATTAAAAAAAAAATATTGTCAATATGTATACAAACTTCAAAAAATAATAGCGGTATTGAATTTAAAGGAGAAATCAAACGTATGTTTTCTCAACTTTATTAATAATTCGTTTATTTTTTTTTCAAATTTCTTTTCACTTTTTTGTTGCTTTGGTATTTAATCAATTTTTAACAAATTGCCTTTAGAATTTTGTCTAGGTTTTTTATAAAACTTTGTATTTTTTTCCCTTTTCAATGTTCAGAGAAATTTTTTTCTATGAATTTTAATATTTTTAAATTTTATCATGTGTCACTTTTTTTTTTTTTTTTTTCAGATCTCGATTTTTATTAAGTTTATGTAGGATTTTAATATTTTTCAATTTTTTTTCTGAATTAAAAAATAAATCCTACGTAAACTTGTTTTTGAATTTTTGGGTTATTGGTATTAATCGTTTTTGTAAGAACAATTGTGTATCAATATTGGAATTACTTTTGAATAAAATTTAAGCCAAAATATGTTTGTAAATACAAATTGTTGTGTGTAGTAGTTGAAAGTAAGCATAATACAGGATTGAATCCAATACTTTACTAAAATAATTAAATATATGGTTGGAAAATTACATTGTCCTTCGTATATAATAACATTTTCAATAGGAGATCAATTTTTACAATTTAAAACAAATTGCTACAATCTTAAAGTAATGCTTGGGTTAAATTTTTGTTAATATTTTTTTGACGGAATGTTCAATTGCATATTGGGATTATCGCCCATTTTTTAATGGATTGTACTTAAGCCAAAATTTGTGTAAACATATACAAATTGTATTGTGGTAATAGAATGACATTAAGCATAATGCAAGGAATCAGATAACACCTTTAAAATGAATTCTAATGGTAATACATATGCATCATACATGAATAACATTTTCATTAGATGATCCAATACTTTAATAATGTAAAACGATTCTATCTTGTACTGTTCTAGCTTTGCTTACATGTATTACTGTCTCGTTATGTTCAATCTCTCCCTTTGAATTCCCACTTAGTGTCTTTGCCTTGAAGAACTGGCAGTTGAGGTTTCTCTCCCCTTCATAAGCTGCTAGAAATTGCCATACTGATCCATTCCTATACTGCCATTATTTGTAATAGAAAATCAATAACATTATGCCACAAAGTCCTTGCAAGATTGTTATCTCAAAAATATGAAATCAACTTTTTCCAAGGCTAAATTTAAAAGTACAGTAGCTAACACCATGTATGACATTAAAGAAACAACGTTAGTAGACTATTTGGAAACCATAAGAATGTTGTTCTAACATCTATCCCTATTTTTCTTTCTTTTCTTTTGATGAAACCTACATCCAATTTAATTTGAAGACAAAGTATATGTATTCTTGACTAAGATAAGCAAATACAAATTATAAAATTACAAAATAAATAAATAAATCATACAAAAAAAAAAAATCTAATCTAATCTAATATATATAAATAAAGTAGACATTTTTAGAGAGCATTCGGAGCGCCACATAAGAAATATACTTATTTCGACAAATAAGAAGAAAGATTTGTATTTTTTTTTTTAAATTAAAAAATTATGTCGCCACCTAGATAAAAGTAACGAATTCGATTTGATATATCTAAAAAAAAAAAAGGAAAAACAGGAGGAGAACAAGTTTCCCTCCAACATCCTTTTTTAAAATAATAGTATTGATTATGTTAAAAATAGTTCTAATCCTATTGGAATAAAACTTGGAATTTCTTTTTGTACTTCGTAAGTAAAGTGTGACGGACTGACGGCATGTGAATATAAAAGGTTCGTTGAAATCCGGCTAAACTGAATTTGATTTTTATTTTACTACCTCCGTTTTATATTTTTTACTCTCCAAAATTGATTATTGTTTGAAATGATTGTAAAGTAAGGCAAAAATTCTAATAAACTACTCGTAGTAGTTTATGGAATATTATTAAAATGTCAATTTTTCTTCGTATTATTTATCTTATACCATTGCATTTTGCATACAAGAATTTGCTAACCAAGCTTCACAATCAAGAGGTTGTGGGATCAAACCCTAGTGACAATTTGGGATGGATATTCCCTTACCCTTCCCCCTTCCAAAGTGCTAGCCCATTAATCCGGACCAAGAGGATATGTGAGGATTTCGGCCTTGTAAGACCCTTCTCCTTACCAAACAAAAAAAAAAATTGTAAACTTGCTAAGAAAGTATTAAACCTCCATCCGTTTATGAAGCTTGATATAGATGATAAACATCAATCAATGGCATAAAAGATGAAAATATACAAGTAAAGACCCTATTTACAATGGTAAAAAGTTTTCTAATTATCCTAACTCTTATAGATAGTACTTGTATTATATAAGAACAAAATTGCTTCGATTCGGCCAAGGAGTACCCAAATGGGTAGAACTTGAATTGAAAGCAAGTAAACATGAGAAGGGAGATGATAATTGCATAAAAAAATATAGCAACCTTTATTGATTAGTTATTATTATTGTAATGGTTCAAGGAATTCCCCTTCTCTGCATTCTCCTACATCTATTACCACTGTACTTTTCTTGTCTGTATGCATCACTCTACAACAATCCCTTCTTGGACCCTGCCATAACACACCATCACAACAATCATATTAGAAATGATATGATAAAAGTGCAGCCTTAATTAAAGGAGTAATTTATTCATTTTAGATGTGTTTTAAAAACCGAGTATGTCCATCTTAAGGGGACTCTTTTTCAATCACTCCAATTATGAAGTAGCTTTTAATAAATAAATAAATAAATCTACAAGTAGTTTTTTTTTTTTTTTTTTTTTTTATATATATATATATATAAATCTAAACTTCTCTTTGATTATCTTATTTTATCCGATCTTATCTTATTTTATGTTATCTTATCTAAGCATATTTAAACTAATTTAAAGGTATAAAATACCATTAGGACTTATTTTAATTGTATAATGAATTTGGAAACCTTTATCAGAACCTATTAAAACTTAATTTTCTTGAATCTATCTTATCTTAAATTATTATTTATAAAATAATGAAAAAAAATGAACAGATGAGGATATAACAAGCTACATGCGAGGCCCTGCATATTAGAACAACTTTTTATGTAGCTCATATCAAATCAAAAATAGGTGAGGTATGACTTAATTACATTGATTTACAAATCATGATTGATGAATAATTAAAGTAAAAAGTAGAAAATTACCTCATCCCATTTATGAGGGTCAGTAGGCTTCTTATAAACTTCAACCTTGTGAAACTTCTCAGGGTTCTCAACTTTCCACCAGCACCAAGGATGAGGGATTTGATATAGCTCATACTCACTCACTGTCACATTAATCTCTGCATTAATCGCGGCTTTAGAAAGATAATATATGAAAGGCTTCTCACAAGGGTGCTTGCTAAATGGTCTTGTGTTGAAGGCAAAACTCGCCGGTTCATCTCTATTGTACCAATTGAAAAATGTTCTAGACGGTCGTTGCATCTCCCGGGGTGTAATAGAACCACGAATTATCTGCACTGCGTACCCCCAGGAGACTGAGACGGTCCAGTTCCTAGTCGAGTCGTAGCAAATGGATTGTTGCATTAGTGACTCCGAGTCTAGTTTTGCGGCTATCTTTAGACGTTGTAGGGCTTGGAGACGGCTCATGTATGGAAATATAGGATCAACTATTTCTAGGTGATGTAGTGTTACTAGTGGTGCTACTGGGTGCGCTGTTAGGAGCCCAAATAGGTTGCCATGCACATCACACTGCCAAATAATTTAAAAGCTTAGGTAAGATATTTGTTCAAATTTAATGGTTTACAACAGATTAGAGATAAAATACAGTATATATATGCAGAAACACTTTGTTCCAAAAAAATACGAAGTGTATGTACACAACACCACATGGAATTGGAAAAAGTGCAAACAAGGTAATTTGGCGAGTTAGCTAAGAATAATTGTATTTACTCTAATCATTTCCAAACTAATAATGTTACACGTCTATTTTACTCGACTTGTCTCTATATAATAGATCACTTTTTGAATTGGTGAATCAACTAAGAATAATTCGTCAGCAAAAACTACATTGTTTAAATAATAACTTGGGAGGAAATAATTTAGCTAAGCAATTTGTTTTATTAAGTGTTCATAGACAAACATTTTCAAATATATAAACATGTAATATTACAAAGGAATAAGCATGATCAAAAAAGTAAATATAGCACTTTGTTGAACTTGCTTCTTCTGTTTCAGTTAATTAAGTAGCCTCGTGTGGGTTTGTTTCAAAAAAAAAAAAGTAAATATAGCACTAGTTTCCACTAATAATGGAGTAATAAAACGTGGAGAATTGATGAATAAAGGAAGACTAATTTTTGTGTACTTTCTACCTCCCACTATTTGTGAGCCACAAAAGTTAATTTCAAGTCAACATATGTACAAAAAAAAGGACTTAAGTCAATCATTGAATATCTCCACTTCTTTTGAATTTTAACCCATTAATCAAGGCATTGACAACTACTAATAACTTATTATTTGGGATTTAATTAGGTTAGTAAGTTGAACTTTCATATGTATTCCAATAATTAAGCCATATGTCAGAGATAAATTGTGGAAAGTGACAAAAATTTGGAAGTTGGAATGAAAGTAAAAGGAGACTATGATTAAAACGTACCAAACTTTTGTTGGACAATTAACAGATATTCACTTCAAATATGTGGGCCCCAAAGACTATAAAAGAGTGATGTCTTTGACTTAAGTTCTCTAATTCCATGGAAATCACTTAAACTATTTTGGATCATTTGGAAATTGTATTTTGGTTCATTTGGAAATTGTATAAGGTTAACTAGCTACCAAATCAATAAGTATGTAGTAAAAGTTCAAAGGAGGATGCGATGTATCTTGTCTTTACAATGGCTAAAGATTCTAATATGGTGTTCTCGAATTTAATTATGGATAATAATAGTTTTATATTTATGGGGCATGATGCACATATTAGAACGATCACTAATGTTTGTATTGGTTCATTCGTCGTTGTTGTTGTCATGTTTCATGCATGTTTGTGTCAATGTAGATGTAATATGATGTTTAAGGGTGTGTTAAGATTGTCGGAATCTATAAACTTCATTCTAATTGTAATAAATTTGACTAGTCCTAATTGGGACTTGTGTTAAATTTTATGAACTTATAATACATATTTATATGTGTACGAGAGATGTATATGCATATAAAGGTAGGTCGTGGTAAGACATCATATGCACCTCCGATATGGCATGTCGTATTGTTGTTTATCACCAAAGCCTAAGGTCAAATTTTTGCATGTAAGACATGCACTTAATGGCAAGAGCACTGGTAATTTATTTGATAAAACCAATGATTTTTTTTTTTTTTTCAGAAACAAACAATTATTAACAAATGTTAGTCACAACTCCCTAGTCTAGGCCCCGTTCACTTTACCTTATTTTTGCTGAACTGAAATTATTTTTATCGAAATAAAATTATTTTTCATGAACTTAAATTATTTTTACTGAACTAAAATTAATTTTGGTAAACTGAAATTATTTTTAATTATTCTCTATTGTATTTCTTCTTTAAAGTTACTGATTTTTATTGAACTGAACTGAACTTATTTTTACTGAACTGAAATTAATTTTACTACATATTATTTTATTAAAGTGAGGTGAACAAGCCCTAGTCCTTGTTTCTAAACACAATACACTCCTATGATTTCTGAAAAACCAATTTAATAGGAAAAGAGTTTGTTACACAACCAAAAAAAACTTGGTCTAAAACAAATAACAAAACAACTTATGAAGCGTGATGGTAGGTTGGACTCCAACTTTTTGACCAGAAGTTAGAAAAAAGAAATTAGTAGCAGTAATACTAAATGAAAATACTCCGTAACAAACATGTAAAGTTGTAGTAGTAGAACCCAACATACACTCATATCACTTTTATTATCAAAGTACCACATTAATTTACAGCTTTGCATATTCATTACTCGTAATGATACCCCATTTTAAAAACAAAATAAATTAATTTTAAAAAAAAAAAAAAAAAAACTGACGAGCACTCACTTTTGTAACATATTGTTACCTTTAATTTTATCAAGCACCCATATTTCATTTTATCAACGATCAAATGTTACCAAAAAAAAACGTGAAACTCAGAAAATTATAACAGCTAGTAACAATTTCTAATTTGTTAGCTGGAAATTGCAAAAACAACGTGACCATTTGCAATTTCATTCATCATAATAAAAATAACAGTAATTAAAAGTATATATCATGATAAATATGTAATTTAACCCATTAACGTGACAATTAAACACAAATTAAAGTAATAGTACATGAAAACGAACCTGATGGAAACCGGGTTCTCTAGTGAGAGGAACACCGAGCTCGGCCAAACAAGCCTGAATCCGATCATCCGAACCGTATAAACCCGTATATCTATGGATACAACCATCTTGCATCTTTTCAATAGCCAATGCTAAGGGATAACTTAGAGCAAACCCTCCACCTCCAAAAGCCATGTCATACGCAAAATTAATATTTTGCAAATGTGTTTCCGAATTACTCCCAATATAGTACATCTTATTATGATCATACTTTCGTAACACCCGAATTAAATTATCCGGGAAAAACACGGTGTCGTCGTCTCCCATGACGAACCACCGTACGTCGTCCTCCAACCCCATCCGGACGATCTCGGATACGATCCGAGTCATCCGGATGGCGGACCGGGACCCTCGTCGATTCGAGTACCCGAACCTAGAAGTATCCTCGGATACTTTTAACGTTGGGTACTTGTAAGGGTCTTCCGTCCGGGTTAAGTTAACCTTCCGGTCTAGAAAAACAAAACCATGTGTGACATTAGGCCGCCACCATGACTTAATAAACTCCTTGCGTCGGCCCCACTTGTTAGCGGCAGCGCCAATGCCGAAAACAACGTGACGAAGCTCGGTGGGTTCGGGGCTCGGCTCGGGGGCCGAAGCGAGGAGAGTGAGGTGGGTAGAGAGAGGAGGAGGAGGGGAGTAGAGAGATTTGAGAGAGAAGAAAGAGAGGAAAAGGTAAAGGGAAAGACCAAGGAGGAGAGAGAAAGCGAGTTTAGGAAGAGAGGGATTGAAGGAGGGGTCTGAGGAGTGGTCTTTTAGGTGTAGTTTCATGGTTTTTTGTTGGGAGGAGAGAGAAAGTGAAAGAGGCAAAGTAGTAAGGGAGGTTAAAAGAGAAGGAATGAAAGAAATGGTGTAGTTTTTGTTAAGAGAGAGAGAAAAGGCGCAGAAATCTAAGGAGATATGATTCAGGTGAGAAGTGTTTTTGAGTTCTGGAATGTGTTTTGTAACAGATTTTTGGATTGGTCGTACGATTAATTCTTTTAACTCCAACAAATTTAATTGAAGAAACTACGGAGTAATCTATAATAATATTATTAAAACGCGAAGGAATAATATGTTATCGTGTGTCACTATTCCCTCAATGTGATTTGGCGCCACATTATCGTTACCATATGCATCATCATTCAAAACTTTTCATATGTGTAACCTTTGTATTTAATTTCCATGTAGAATGTAACTTCAATAATTGCACATTGAAGTACAATTTAATTTGTAAGAAATCAATCACGTACTAATGGTTGTTTCCTTGGATGCTATTTTTTTTATATTCAATACCAATTAAGCAATTATATACATAGTAATATCTACAAGTATTTAAACTTAAGGTAATTTCAATATACGGGGCATCGTCCGAGCTCGAGCCACAATCTAGTTGAATGTTTAAACAAGATATACATGGATTAATTTTTCTTCAAAGTATTTTTACTATTGGTACTTAGTATTTATTAGAGTAAACCCTACATTGCATTAGATATATTCAATCCGAAAAAAAAAGAAAAAAAATAGCTAGAAAACAAAGTACAAAATAGAACTTATGAAAAGTCGTATTCTTATAGTTTATTATTTGTGAATTTAAGTGTACAAAATTAACGAACAAAAAATTTAAATAATATAAATTAAAAACTATGGAGTGTTGCAAAGTTGTTCCAAGTTTAAAAGTTTCAACTACTTACTTAATATTCATTATTGACATGAGAGTGAGGGATATATAACTCAAGTGATTAAAACTTTAATTTTCTCTCGATTTTAGGTGATTCCAAAATATATAAATTTCCTTATTTTGGAAAAATTCATTTAGTACTCCAATGATCTTATAGTATGTGTTATAATCTTTAATTAAATTTCTCATATTGTTGTTGTTAGTCAATTGTCATGCAATGACAATATCAATTTTACATAATAGTTATGCTAAAAGTATTACAATTTGAGCAAATGTCCAATACACCTCATTGAAGTTCAATTTAAGGAACCAAATGTAACATTCCGAGTCAAGATTCAAGAGTAACAAGCAAGAGAGGAAGTAATTAATTACTACGTACATAATACCAAAATTAATTAGGGAATAAAACATTTATGTTATTCTGTTTGAAGTTTTTCAACACACAAGCGTAATGCACATTTATGCTTGTAATTGTAATTAATTAGCCTTTAATCGGTAAGGAAGATACGCATGAAAAAAAAATAAAAAAATAGCACTCAACAAGTCTACACTAACATATGGAGTATTATAAAACAACAAACAACTGAACTAGCATTGAAAAATCTCACACAAAGTGGCAATAAATTACGCTAAGGATGAATTCAATGACTTTTTACTTATTTATTAAACTTACATGAACATCATACATTTTGTTATAGCTTATTTTTATTGTGAATTGGGCTTGAATAAGTATCAGACTTAGATAAACTTATTTGAAATATTATTATATACATTCGGGTGCACGGTGCAGCAATGAATATTTTGTTCTCATTTTGATGATTGTTATTTATTTAATCATCAAATAAAGAGCAAAAACTAACCTTTGGATTAGTTGGGTGCACCGTACATCCAGCTGTTTATAACAATTTTCAAACTTATTTTTTCTTAACATATTTTATCTGAACTATTTTTTTTATGAAATAAGTAGAAAAAAGGTGAAAAAAACATTGCACAAGTCAATAAATTTCTTCAAGTAAATGAGAATTGTCATCCTTAATATTTTGTAAATTTCCGCATATCGTAAGATAGTCACGACCCAACGTTCCTACCATTATGTTGTGTCGTATCATTCTTAATTTCAAGTCTATTTTCACTAATTTTACCTTTTTCTTAAAACCCCATAAATATAAAAACATGTCATATCGTATTGTTCCGTACTTTAGTAAGGCAGCTTGGCCCAATGCCATCTTTACCATAACAACGACGACATTCTAATCAGCCCAATAAACGGCTTCGGACATCAGTCAGGCCTCTTTTATCGCAAGAACCTCCTTTATTTTCCTCTTTCGCAAAATTTCATTGAAATACCAACACGCGCGCTGTGCTGCATACCAGCTTCATTTTGACTTGATGAACAACAAAAAGAATGACTCTCCTCGACATCTTCCATAGATTGAATTCAAGCTTCTTTCAAGAATCCATCCATGCTTCTGCACTATCAAAACAGGTGAAAATTTTCTTTAATTCCTTCGTTATATGTTTCTTTGTACTTTGAAATTCCATTATCATGTCAAATGCAGCGCTTAGGAAATTACCCAGATAATTTATCTTGATCTTTCGCTTCGTAATGCTGAAATTTCTCTATTATATTTGTTCGGGTGTTGCTAAATTTGAGTACCCTAATTGTTTATCTTTTTAATTTGCAGTTTTGAAGTGGGTAATTTTGGTGGGTTTTTGTTCAAGTTTTGTAAATGGTGAAATTGGTCAGAAATTAGATAATCTTGTGAATTTAGGTTAGTGATAATGGCGAGAATTTTGTCTCCGAAGTTGAAATCGCTTTCTGGGTCTGTTTTTTCTTCATCAAAATCAATGGCATCTGGGTTGAATTATGCTTATATGAATAATATGAGAGCTGGTGATCATATTCATGCTAGACCTATTGTTGGTTACAAGGGTCACAATAATCACACTGATACTCATTGTAGTATGTTGAGTTTTGAGCCTAGAGCTTGTGCCCAGCTGTGTAAACCCAATTATGGTTCAACATTTTCACCCACATTGTCAAGTTACCGGGTTTTGAGTAGCTTCCCTTTAACATCTATGTCGGGTTTCCTGTCATATTCGTCGTTCGGTGGTAGTAAAGGGGATAATAAGGGCCTTGATGTTCAGGAAGCTTCTGGAATAGGAGATGCAAGTGTTAGTGGAGGTGGTGATGGGACTGTTGGGAGTTCTGAGTGGGTTGATAAACTTAAGGATGTATGGAAATCTGTTGTAGATGCAGCTAATATCACTGCGCAAAAGGCTAAGGAAGCCTCTGATGAGTTAACTCCTTATGCGCAGCAAGTGATGGATTCTCATCCATACCTTAAAGATGTTGTGGTACCTGTTGGTGGCACATTCACTGCTGCTTTACTGGCGTGGCTGGTCATGCCAAGTATTTTGAGGAAATTGCACAATTATTCTAACCGAGGATCGGCTGCTTTGCTGTCTGGAACTGGAAGCATATTTGCTATTAATGTAGCATACGAGAAGAGTGTTTGGGGTGCATTAGAGGGTCCAGTACGCTCTCTGACAACTTTCATGGTGATTTCTGAAATGTCAGTGGTATTACTTACATATTATTCTTGTATTTTGTTTGTCAGATAATGTTTACTCAGATAAATTAAACAATACAGCTTCTGTGGATATGCAGATGCCATTTGATTGCTCCAGATGCTGTTGCATCCCAGCTGATTGGTCAGGCTTGGAAAGGGGCAGTTGCCCTTTCACTTGTATGGTTTGTGCAACGTTGGAAGACTAATTTGTTTGCTCGTGCCCTGGCTTCTGAAAAACTTCAACTGCTTGATCGTGAAAGGCTGCTTACTTTGGACAAGATTTCCTCTGTTGGCCTTCTAGCTGTTGGAATTATGGCTATAGCAGAAGCATCTGGTGTGGCTGTTCAGTCTATTATTACCGTTGGTGGTATTGGGGGTGAGTATTCCAAACTTCTAAACTGGGCATGTTCTTCTATTCTTTTCTTACATGTTTTGTTGTGAACATTAATTTCCAGTATCACAATATGAGCCTTATGATAGTATAGATTCATAATGGCAAAGTGAAGGCACTTATCGCTCTTCTGAGATCATATGCCTGTGTGTGACTTATTCATCATATTGCATGTTAGGCATCTTCAAAGAAACTGCCAGAGCTTGTTCAGACTACAACATATTAATTCTCATTCAACTTGAGTTGTGATAATTACTTTGATAGAATTTTCATTTTGGGGTGATGTGGATCTTTTTCCTGTGTCAATGGCATGGTGAAGAGAGGGCAGGACCAAAAAACTGTGGGAGGAATACAGATGTAACAAATTTTCTCTAGCTCTTTTGTGCTCTATGCTTAATTAGCCAGTTCTAGTGAGAAACACTTTATTGACCTTGATTTTCGCAATAAGTGGATGGCTCTTTTGGTTTAAATTTCCACTCTAACGCCTTAAGAAGAAGAAACTAAAGGAAAAAAAGATTCTCAGGCCATAGTTTCTGCAGCACTCTACCAAATTGCAGAAATTTTATCTTTGCCACTTAATAAAGTTTACATGTATCTACTTGTTATCCTATCATCCTGTGCCTAACTTATCATAGTTTAAAGTCTGCTAATTATCATATTGGCTACTCAAGTGTGTGTTTGTGCATTAAATTTTCTTCTGTTCTTCTTTGTCCAGGAGTGGCTACTGCATTTGCGGCAAGGGACATCCTTGGTAATGTGCTTAGTGGCTTGTCAATTCAGTTCTCTAAGCCATTTTCACTTGGAGATACCATTAAGGCATGCTTCCTAATCTCTCTTTCAATTTTATTATTAGCAAAATAAAACTCCTTGTCTGAGCATTACCCTTCCCTGGTTTTAGCAATGCCTTTAGTTATGTTAACAGGTCTTGCATATGTTTTTGCTGTGACTGCATTGATTCTATCCCCTTCTGTTTTCTGAAAGTAGCTCATCAAAGTTCAGGGTCTTTGTTATGTGGCGTGAACGTGAAGGGTAGCATGCTGTATATACAGTTGCTTGGTTATGGCTTTAATTTATTTGATAGTAATAGCTTGTACCTTTGAGTTTCTAGGCCCCCTTTTCTTCAGTTTAATAGCCTTATTGGGTTTATTCAGCTGTAGACCTGTAAATTTTTTTTTTTTTTTTTCCCTGTTAATTTCTCCTTTTGTGAGTGGGTTTCTTTTGTAGCTTGGTTTGTTTATGTCTCCCTCGTCTGTGGCTGTTTATTTTTTGCAGGCTGGATCAATAGAAGGTCAAGTGGTGGAGATGGGTTTAACTACTACATCATTATTGAATGTTGAAAAGTTTCCAGTAATAGTTCCGAATTCTATTTTCTCCAACCAGGTGAAAGCTTTTCTGTCTCTAGCTCTATAGCTCTTTCAAGAATTTACAGTTACTTTTTTCTTGACTGCTAGTTTGCATTAGTGAATCAGTCTTGCTGCTCTGCAGTTTGAATTTTTAATTTACCCTTGGGAATTAAGTGCATTTTGCTGATTGCCCTGTCAACATCTTAATTGTGCTTAATTTTATTATACAGATCCTGAAAATAAGTTGATTATTATCACGAATCTTGATTGCAACAGTACATGAATATGTTTTGTTTACTTTGGGTCATTGTCACATTTGGCAGGTCATTGTGAACAAGTCTCGAGCTGGGTGGCGTGCTTTTATCAGTAAAATCCCACTGCAATTCAGAAATATGGAAAAAATTCCCCAGGTTTCAGCTGACATAAAGTCAATGCTAGATTCGTATCCAAAAGTTTTCTTGGGACGTGAGGCTCCTTACTGCTACCTCCCTCGCATTGAGAATTCATATGCTGAACTGACTCTTGGATGCAATCTCCAACAGCTGGTACTTCCCCTGTGCACTAATTCGTATACACTTTTCTTCAGAAAGTATAATTTATATATAAGATGTACGTTAATAATATCTAAACAATAGAGCATATGGTGCTTTGAAGCTGGCGGAATTGCTAAAAATGTTGCTAATTCACTTTTAGCAAAAGGTTTTATATCCTGCGTTTCTTTGAGTACTGCAGTTAAAATTATCAGGTTCCTGCTCCCATTGTTGCCAGTATAACATGAATTTGTTTTATGTATTCCAAACACGCTCTTGATTTCTTGGTCCATTGGATTTACTTTTTGTTTATAAAGGTTCAAATATTATGTTAAAGACTGAGGTCCGATGACTGAGAAGTTTGAGTTCTTTAGTGCCTGAAATTTATGGCAGTTTATTACACCCACCTAGGCTTATACATCATCATAGTACATGTGCAATATGGGGGTGATGGCTTCTTGTAAAAGGCAAGGATTTCATTTTAGTTTCTCTCCTATACATTATTTCCTAGGTAGACATTTCTCACTTTTCTTCCCTGCGGGTGTTTCTTCTTTCTTGTCAGACTTCAATTGATATATATTTACCATTTTCTGGTGATTGTAGAGCAAAGCAGAGAGGTATTCCACGGAACAAGATATCCTGCTAAAGTGCATCCAGATCATTCAGCAGCATGGTGTTTCGTTGGGCAATACACAGCAAGATCTGATAAGCCAGTGATTTTTTCAGATTGAAACATCCAGCACTTAGGTTTGCCAATCTGACTTTATTAGTCCCCAATTCAGGCATTCAACTTGATACTTGAACTTTGAACTATGGTCCTTTTTTTTTCGTCTTCATATATACTGTGCTCATTGATATCCATAAGATATTATCAGCCATGTTCATGTCCTAGCTGGTTTGTAGCTAGACTAATATACTATCTGGCATCAGTCTTGACAGTCCAAAAATCCCCAATACTCCTATCCCTCTAAATTGAGGGTGTATCAAGATTTCACCAAAATACTCCTTGGACATTCAAAAATTGTACTGAGGGAATAACTTTTTACAAGTAATACTAAAGAGTAAAGATTGCATATACCCGTTTTCCTACCTAAATGTTCAGTATTAAATTTGTTCTAGAAAAATCTATTTCTTCCACTTCGTATTTCCCTCTTTTTTTTTTTACTAATAAAGTTGTGGTATTTTGGATGGAGGTAGTTCGTTGTCTACTCGTCTTCACCATTGACTCAAAGACATACAAGGCATGACACACCGAAGGTGATTACTATAACTTCTCTTGTTCTAGCTGTGCAAGTCAGGGAGGAATTGAACGCAAGAAATTTCCATATTCGTGAAAGGGCACATTTATGTTAAGTACGTTACACTGCTGCTTCATATTACAGATTACAGTATGCTGTTTAAAAAATAGGAAAATTTTGACTCTTGTTAGAAATTTTGATTGTCTGTGATCATCATAGAAACTGCATCAGCTTGTTAATAATTCGTATTTGGTTTTAATCAAAGAATGGTGGATGAATGGTGGATTGTGGAGGCCTTTGTGCTATCTCGGAATGTAGATTGGAATTTTCATCTTTATTTCTATCGTAATGCCCCTCCTCTCCCATGACCCCCTTCTCCCATGACACCCCCCTCCCCCCAAATACGAATCTTGGCTGAGAAAATTTTACTTTATTTTTTACGAGATTTCAATATTTACCCCTAAAAAAGGCAAATCATCGCCTTTAAAGATAAGAAAAGGTCACAAGATGTTATTTCCCTTAGTGTTCTTCCCTCCATTGCACATATTAGCTATCTGTCAACCTTTTTTTCCTATAAAGTATACTAAATGTAGTCTAAGTGCTGAAAAAACAGTTTCCAATTCTTACGAGAGTGCATATAGGTGGCATTATAAGAAATTAGGACTTATTCGTAGTTGGTTATGTATTTACTCCTGTCATCTTTGAATATCAGGCCACATTTGGTTTGGGGTCAATTTTAAACTTGGTATCCATTAAATTGATGTAGTCTTGTTTAAAGCAGTATAGGAAAGTTTATATTTTGACTGGTTATCGTTGGATAGTGACTTATTATGTAGGGAGGAATTACAATAGATTTCTGTCCTAAATTATAAGGACTAATGGAGAAATTATAATTTTTCATAGATACAGATTGATAGGCAAGAACAGTTCTTGATCTCTTGGAGGTCAATCAGATTAGTAAAAGCGCCTTCTATCTGAAAAGAAAAGATTTACTGGTACTCGATAGAATGGAAATTCCTACAGCATCAAACTGCTAAATATAATTCTGAAACTTTGCTGGTGAAACTAGGGTGATATCCACTACACTACCCAGACTTTGTTTTGGAGAAAAGTTTGAGCAACTGAACTAAAACAATAGTTACAGAACAAAGATTAAAAAACTGAAATAGGCAAAATCAAAGATGGTTGATCATTACTTATATTTCATGAGCCTCTTGACGTATCTCGAGAGAGAGAGGTAAGAAGAGTCATCAACCTCTGATTTTGCTATAGGGCGAAATGCCCAGAACGGACCTGACCTGACTGGGTGTCCAAACTGACTAAGGTAGGGATGGCCAATGAACATCTGGATATGCGTTTGAGCCAGAGCAGCCAAGGCCTCAGTGTGTGGATTTGGGTTGGTGACTGGTGGTGAGGCGGAGAGCAAAGGGAAAAAGGGCTCTCTTATCAGCTGAGTGGCGAGGAGTGATCTTCTTGGTAGCAGGGGGCTGCATAACACAGACATACTGGTTGGCAGTTACTCCATGGGGGGCGCAGTCGGCCAGAGTCCCTGACCCAGTGAAGTATTTCGCTACGGTTGCAGCAACAGCCTTGACTTGATGAAACCAAGCCATGGAATTATTCATGTGCAAAAAGTTGGCTATAGGGCGAAGATTGTCGTTAGCATGAGTGGTGGGAAAGTCGAAGTTATGATAGCTATCAGCAAATGACTTGTTCAGACACTTGTCTGCTTCGAAGGCATACTGCAGACCCGGGGAGCAAAGAGCATATTTCTCAAAATCAGACCTTTGATTGAGAGGTGGAAACCTATAGTATCCAAAAACCTTAGTTTGGTTTCCGGCTTCCTGAACAGAGATGTGCTTTCCCATAGAAGGAATCACCTGGGGGTCACCGTTAATTAGCAGGTTCAGATCCTCCAAGAGAGCGATAATCCCAGGCATGTTGGGGAGAAAGAAGGCGCTGTTACTGCTGCTGGTGCAGGAGATGGGATGCTGGGGTAGACCAAACCATAATTATTTTTCATGATCTGTATCTCCGAAGTGCAGAGAGTTTTGAAATGAGGAAGAAGGGGAGCTGCCACTGGAAGAGATTCCAGGGGGTGGCGGTCCAGATAATGCATCAAGAATTGGTGCTGCTCAGAGTTAAGGGTATTGGCCTCACGGCCAGCATGAAGACACTGAATCCAAAATAATACGCCAAAGTATATGGATGGTAGTCAGGAGCTACTCTCTTAAAGTAGTAATTATCAACTAGGTGCTTGTTCATCAAGTGGACAACATAGTCCATCAAACAGGAAGGATTATAAGAGGAGGCTGCCTTCGGAGATGGATAAACAAATCTAGTATTCATAAAGGGTTCAAGTGTAGCGAAAGAGACGCCAAGATCATGTCGTAAAAAATGATTCTAGTATGAATATGCAAGTTGAAATTGAGCTGGACGTTAGGAGAGGAGAAAGATGGGTTTATACTCAGTACTTCGTAATTCGTATGACTAGTGATTCCGACTTATGAGTAGCAAAGAGTGAAAAGGGGTGTTTGGAAATGTGAACAGTCGAGCGTTGGGAATACTAATGCATTAGAAGCTCAACAACCAACTATACTTATACTAATCAATAACTTCACAAGTATAGTTGTTATTACAGTACAATGTAATTGGGACAGACCTTTGTCTTCCTTATCCAAAAAAAAAAAAAAATCATTAGCACCGGTAATTAGATGTTTGTATTCTTATTGTGATCAAACTTTGATAATTTATTTATTATTTATTTTTCTCAAAATACATCTAATATAAACTAATAGTCTACTTCCAATAAATTGGGAGTAATTAGTGTCTTGTTTTCAGTAATAGCATCAAAGTCTGGGTGGTGTAGTCGGTTATCACGCTAGTCTCACACACTAGAGGTCCCCGGTTCGAACCCGGGCTCAGACATTTTTAAAATAAAAGATTTTTTTTTACCTCTCTTGATTTGCTGGTATACTACACAGTAATGGAGTAATAATTTTCATTTTTATCGTCATTTTAATGGAAACTATGAAAGGAAGAAAAAGACGCCCCGGAAATGCTCAGACGTAGAGCAGTAGAGAGGACAGCAAAATATGAGGAGGATTCTGGAAATGCAAAGTGACATACAGTTGATAATATCGAGCTTAAACTTAAAGGATATTCATATAGAAAAATGTGATCAAGTATGATACTCATACAATCTAATGTCAAATATTATGTAACAATAGCGCACTGAATCAATTATTTGATACAACAAGATGCTACATCATCCAACAAGACAGAAAAAATCCACATTCCTAAGGTAACAAGGTATAAAAAAATCGTCTAATAGTGAGAATCGTGCTGTATGTACATGCATTTTTGCCTCAACACCATTTCAGTGGCACTTAAAGGAATCTCCATAGATTTTATGGTAAGCAGTGATATACCATAACATCTATTATAAGCAATTTACATTCTGCTATTCTTCAGAACAAAGAGGGCTTTATACCACTGTTTATCACCATGTCACATTTCACTTTCATCGTCTCTTGAAAGAAAGTCACTTCTGGTACAACAATTAACCAATGAGGGGATCTGGGTTGAATGACACGGACTCCCTCCAAATGAGCTCTTTGATATTCTCTTCTGTGAAAGATGGCTGCTCAAAATCAAAACTGAATGGCTGGGGACAAATAGGTTCCTCATTTATGTCGTGTAGAGGGGCAAGGTATGGATGGCAGAGTGCCTCGTTAACTGAACAAAATCAGAGAAAAAGCGTTAAATTGGTATTCAACAAATACTGGTATGAATTCAAAGACGAGCTAAACTAAGCCAAGCTGCCTCAAGAAGGCCTAACCAGGAAACAGGCTATACTAATTTTTCTCATCCTACCCTCCCCTTTGAAGCGAAACTAACCACTCCTACCTCAGCCTTCTCTACAGTCTGCCTGCTTGTGATCTGTTTTCCCTCAATTTTTTCTACCCTTTGCTCTCAAATTGTCTATCTTTTTAACTGATTAACAATGCAAGCCATTAACCAATTTCCATGTTCTACTCAATCTCCCTTTCCTCTTCTCTTGCACATGCACACTCCATCCTGCCTTTTCCTTCTTCCCGATCCCACGGAAAAACCTAAGTAAACCTAACTCGCAAAATAAACCTCATCTGAACCTGACAGGCTCAACTCAACTCGATTAAGCCTCTAGCTTACAAGTCACTGGGCAATCCAAATCATGCCTTCTCCAACGAATAGTTGCATATTTCATTCATAATGATAATTTTCTTAAATCATGATACCTGTCATACGCTTGCTGGGATCAAAGACGAGCATTTTCTCCAGCAAATCAATAGCCAACGGAGAAGCATTTGGAAATTTAGCAGAGAGTTGTTGCCTTGGATATTGAGGAAGCTGCCTAACATATCTTTTAGCATTCTCACTCTGTAGGAATGCTATACTGGAGTCATCAGGTGAACCTATGAGCTGCCAAGAGATAAAAGAGCCATAATAAATATGTCAAGACTTTCCAAATTGTGACACTTTAGGGACTCCAGACAATAAAGACCACAAAAGGGAATAAATGGAGGGTACTTGAATAAGCAAATAACAGAGTTCCATTAATTTGATAAAGATGAATTACTATAAGATGTCATTAAATCATCTAATAACAATTTTTTAACTATGGATTAGTATGGACTAAAGAAAACCTCTCACACTATTAATTCATAAGGAGTATTTGGAATGCAGTTGTACAGACGGCTGACTAGTAAATCAAGGGGGCATTCATGCAGCCTCTTTGCAATCATTGGGATACAGCCTCTCTGTATTTTTAAAGGTATGGCTGCAGATATAAGTCAGTAGTCTCAGTATACCAGCCTAGGTGGGAGCTTTGTTGAAGGCATTGGCGTATCGGGTAGAATGATATGGTGAATTGACTAGCAAAATAATGTTATTATACAGTAATGAGTAATAACACCAGACCAACAGGACAACTGAGGAAAATTATAATTTTAACATAGCTTCTTAGCCAACAGATCTCAGTAAGTGATAAGCATGTATAAAACATAGAATTTGCAGGATTTATCATCTTTTCCTGCCAATTTTCAGTCAAAAATCCACAGACCACTCTATCCAGACAATATCCTGTTTGATGAGGCTACATTTATCTTGGATACACAAGAGAAATATGTTTGAAATCTCACAAGTCACAACAGACTACAGTTTTTCCGGGCTTTACAAGCAATTACTGTACTGTATGCTACTAGGTTATCATTGGGTAGAATGAGTAAAAAGGTAGTGAGACTGGCAGCTGTGTAGTCTAGGGGAAAAAATGACCAAAAAAAAACAAAAGTTCTCTGACTTCATGCTATTAGAAAGAATTTATATTCTTATGACTAGAAATATCAATATTTTAAACATAAGAACCTACCTCAGTAACAAGTTTCAGCTGATGAACATAATCCTTTCCAGGGAAAAGGGGTTCTCTGGTCATGATTTCCCCAAGTATGCATCCAACAGACCAAGTATCAATTGCAGCAGTGTACTCGGAACAGTTTAAAAGCAATTCTGGAGCTCGATACCACCGAGTGACAACATACTCGGTCATGAAATCGGTTTCTGAAGTTGTTCTTGCAAGTCCAAAGTCTCCAATCTTAAGGTCACAGTTCGCATTCATTAGCAAATTGCTAGGTTTCAGATCACGGTGCAGCACACCAGCCGAGTGAATGTACTTCAAGCCTCGTAATATTTGATAGAGAAAATACTGTGAAAAAAATTTTGACCATCAATCATTTGTTAGGCATCAAATTCAAAGTAGCAAGGATGCAGGCAATGGCAACTAAAAGATGAGCAAAAGGATTTGACATTTTGACCCTCAATCATTTGTATCAACTCTTAGAAGGGTTGAGAAAAAGGCCAAGAGAAAAAACAAGCCAATGCTTTTCAAACATTAAGCTTTTGTCGTATTTAATCTTTTTGACCATCAATCATTTGTTAGGCATCAAATTCAAAGTAGCAAGGACGCAGGCAATGGCAACTAAAAGATGAGCAAAAGGATTCGACATTTTGACCCTCAATCATTTGTATCAACTCTTAGAAGGATAGAGAAAAAGGCCAAGAGAAAAAACAAGCCAATGCTTTTCAAACATTAAGCTTTTGTCGTATTTAATCTTTTCACTTAGAAGAAAACAGACAAAACAGCCTTTCAAGTTTCAACTAGAAGATTATTAATGAAGACAAATGTCTAATATTTTAAGCTAAGACAGCCAAATTCCACATTTTCCTCTTATGAGAGACATGGGAGTGAAATAATATTATTCATCAACACAGTTAAAGCTAGACACAAACGTTCAACTTCAGATTGATTATTGACTAAGAAAGGTATTGTTCATTAAACTAATAATTTCAAAAACATCTACAACTTCATACAAACATACCCGACAATGATCATCTGTTAACTGTTGGTTGGATCGTATTATTTGGTGAAGATCAGTATCCACCAGTTCATGAACCATATATACATCATTGAAGTTCTCTTTCTGTGGAGGTCGTATTATGTCCCGGATGGAGATAACCTGTGCTAGGACGAAAATTGACCAATTAGAAGACAACATTGAAACTCACAACTAAAAAAATCTCTAAAATGAATAGGAGTCATAAACTCCTCAAAAAATAAAATAATATACTTCGTATAAAGTAACTTAAAATAAAGAGTAGAATCATATAACAATGCACACGAGTTCAACTTCTAAATGTCATATTGATTATCTTCGTTTAAATGATTTGCAGCACTTGTTCGGAATACTTCAGTGTAGTGGGGTTTCAAATCAATGCAGTAAAGTCTATGCAAAAAGAAATCTAAACAGTATGTTCTTGCAATAAGAGATTCCAACTCATAATATTGATCATGGCTTTTGAGTTTTGGAGCAAAGAAAACTGAAAAGTGAAAGAAAGTGTTTATGTTTGGTTAGTTGCAACAAACAAGAAAATGTGCTACCTATACCATCAAAATGTCATGGTTATGAAAAAGGGATAGTAATTTTAATATATATACCTTTCAAAATGTCATGGTTATGAAAAAGGGATAGTAATTTTAATATATATACCTTAAAATCACCATTACAAAACACTGAATAATAAAACTTACATTGTCATGATTCATGTGACGAAGAAGTTTGATTTCACGGAGTATTCTTTTGGCATCAATTCTGTTATGAAATGCATTGCTGACCTTCTTGATTGCTACTTCTTCTTGTGTTTCTGAATTGACAGCAGCACTGAGAAAATGATAAAAAAATCAAGTTGACCATCATTAGTAAACAACTACAAACACATCTGTAGTAGCAATAGGCTAGCTTAAGTATCAAAAGCACAAAAGCTCATGAGTTTTGATCTTCAGTTAAATAATAAGCAAGCAAAAGCAAGAGTAAAGCCTAAGAGACCACTAAGTCATGATGGCATCTTATGCTTCTAAACACATAAGATTAAATGCAAAGCAACTCCTGCGTAGTCTATTAGTAGAGTCTTTAACAACAAACTACAGTTGATAGTGTAAACTTATGTAAAAATTAAGAGGTTTTACTAGGCATTCTGACCATTCTCTGGAATTTCCAGTCTTTAACAGCCAAATACGAAGTACGGAGTAATAACTAAAAGAAAACAACCTTGAATCTACAAAATCATATACTGAAATACAACTGAAACCTGAGATACGATGATGAATACAGAAAATTACAATTTTTGGCTGTATTTTCCCACAAAATCTAGTTTTTTCCATTTGCCTTCGAGTGATTATTATAAGCTGATTTCAAAATATAAATATTGAGTTGAAAAGCTTTTCTCAAAAAGAAGAGAATATTTTCTTTAGTCAAAGAAAAAATGCACATTTTCCTTCCCACTCCTCAATTCAACATCTTCCTTGCTTCCTCCTCTCCTCCACTACATTTCTTCCCCGTCTTCTCGGAACCACCCTTCTTCCTATAATTTCCTCCCTAACCTATCTAACGAAGTACTAACGACAGGAAATTGATAAAAAGAAAATTCTCCACATATATTAAATTTCCACAAAAATTATAAGTTTTGCTCAAAATGTTTTTTTTTATAAACAAACGCAGCCTACTCAATATGTTTCCCACTAAACAAAACACAGCCAAAATAGTCACATACTTGGTACTATACTATTCGCAATGCATATGCCAACTAGCTTCGTTAGTCAAGTCCCGAGGGTATTGAGGCGGATCAAATCCCGTCTACATCAATCTCCTTTTTAAGTATAATTAATATTCATTAATAATACCAGAAGAATATCTCATTACAATTCTTATAATACCTCATTTCAGTAAATAACTTTCTATCAGTTTCATCTACTAATTGATCAAGCAAATCATGCATCAAGCAGATCTTACTATTTATACTTCATAATACAAAAAACCCACAAAACTCAACTAACATTTAACAAAATATTAGCTATGATTAGAAAAAATCAGGAAAAGGAGAAGAAAACTAACCAGACAATACCATAAGCACCACGACCAACAGGGCGAAGAGGAGGAACATACTTACTAGAAACTTCAAAAAGGTTTCCGTACAGATTGTACTGTACATACCTTCCTCCATGAGTTGGTACTCCTCTCAAGTTCTGCTCCATTTTCTCTCTCTTTAGTTCTCACTTTGATGGGATTTTTTGGCAATTTGGAGGAGAGAGAAAGAAACTTTGATGGGAGATTAAGTAATTGGAGGAGAGAGAAAGATAATTAGATGGGTTTTCAGAGGAATTAATAGGAAGAGTGAAATGGGTGTTGTTGGGTGATGGTGGAAGGTTGACATTTCTAAGGAGAATAGGAGACCATAATAATACTTAGAGAAGGTGACAGGAAGAGTCACTATAAGATTATTCTGTACAGTACAAGTAAATTTACTTTTTTAAAACTTGGTTGAATTTAAGCAATGTGAGATTCGTCTTTAATCTTTTGTCAAGCTCTTACAAATTTATTTATGTCCATCCTTCTCCTAAATGCATGTGGAGCAAACTTTATAAGAAAATCAGAAAAGAGAACATGACAATTTTAGTAAGAATCTTGCTAGCAAGCGTCTCGGGACGTTAGATAACTATTTAATATATTACTTAAAATAATATTAAGTTCGAAATGCATGACAAATTCACGCGTCGATCGATGTAATTATTAATGTTAATTTTACTTTAATATTTCCATATTTAGTTCTCTTATCTAACGCCCCGGAAACGCTCATTAGCTTTTACCTATAAAACCGAAGGAGTAGATTTTTGTCATTTTTTAATGTCATGAGGCCGGTGGGAAAACCTCATTGACAACGCGTGAAATAGAGTAGAAATTTGTATTCATGGGGCTGACTTTGAGTCTTTGAATAATGTCACAGTTTTCTAATCCATACTTGATACATCCATACTCCTAAAACGAGTTACTTTGAAGAGTTTGTTAGAAGTGGAATGATGATTAATGACTTATTAGTTATTACTACTCATTAAACAAAGGATTAAATTGATCGGGAATTAATTGATGGTGTTATTAAGTGGAAAAACTATGTCTAATTTTGGAGTAGTCCAGCAATACACACTAGTAATTCTTGTAATATACTACTACTCACCTTATAAACAAATGTTATCATACTATCATAGATTAATAGTACATTAAATTAAATTCAATTCATTTTCTGTTTATAGGAAGATTGATTCAGCTTCACGTTCTCCGGTCTCCTTATGCTCAATCGTTTTACTTTGTTTGATATCGTTTAGCTAGTAGCTAGCTCATCTGTCTCTAAAAGTTTTTCAAAAGGTAGAGAAACTAAAGTATTCGTTCAAACAAATAAATAAATTACAGGAAAAAAAAAATGAAGAACAGTAAAATAGAATGAAAATTATTTATTGACTGAAATACTGAATTGGAAGAAGCAACACAATTTCTGTGGAAATTCTCAACAAAAACCTTATCTACTGATTTAGATAGCAACCCACCTTGAGCGTTGATTCTGTTCAACATGTTCTAGAGTCAACTGAAAATTCCCTGGTTGAAAGCAATAGCAAAATTCTGACAAAACATGAACAAGCAAAAGTACGTTCATTGTTATGATGAATAACAGTACATTACTGAGATTATTAAGAGCAGCCATAACTATTTATACATCTTTCTCATATAAACTTATTTATACACCTAATCAATCACTTCTTTAAGCAATACATGTCTTCATGAGCTACGGTTCTGTATGCGCAGCTAGTTGTGCTGATTTGAAGCAGAGCCTCCTGTCTGAGATGAACCTGGTGTATAGCCTCGCGCATATGGATAAGGACCAAAGTATCCCTGTGATGATTGGCCTTGACCATACCAACGCCCGAAGGGTGCATATGGAGGAACAATGGGATATTGGGATGTGTATGGTGAGACGACAACATAGGGTTGCGGTTGAGGTTGATAATATGGATACCCTGGTGTAAACCCACCCCATCCAATGTCTCCTCCAAAATCAATAGGCCCTAAAGTAAAATGGAACGAGCCATCTCCACCTGGAATGATGGGAATCAATCCTACTGCCAAGGACCTGGGTTGGATATTCAGTCTCCCATTTCTACCCTCAGTCTTATCATTAATATTCCGTCTTGCATCAGTTTGTGAGGCCTCGACAATTTTCTTCTTCCCGCCTATGCCATTACTCAGTGGAGAAGGAAGTGGTACAGAGGCCTCATCATAATTACTCTGACTTACATCAGTTTGTGAAGCCTCGCTAATTTTCTTCTTTCCACCTACACCATAATTCAGTGGAGGAAGTGGTACTGAGGCCTCATCATCACCCCGACTTACATCAGTTTGTGAGGCCTCGCTAATTTTCTTCTTTCCACCTCCGCCATAATTCAGTGGAGGAAGTGGTACAGAGGCCTCATCATAAATACCCTGACTTACATCAATTTGTGAGGCCTCGCTAATTTTATTGTTTCCACCTCCGCCAGTACTCAGTGGATAAGGAACTGGTACAGAGGCCTTAGCATTAATATTCTCACTCACATCACCTCCATCCGGACCTTTTGGAGGAGCTAGTAGTTCACCCTCAACATTTTCAATAACAGCAGGCCTACGAGCAGAAACAAAGACGGACATTAAAATGAGAGCAAGACATAGCAAGTATGATCTACTAGCCATAACTGCTACCTCTGATAACATATATAAAGGTTTACATGTGTTTCAGGTTATTTATAAGAAGAAAATGAACTGTTTGATCATTTCAGCAGTCATCTGCTCACAAGGAAAGAATTTTGCATGAAATGAGACATAAAAACGGATAACTTGTTCACTTCTTAAAGTTCATGTTTATAAGACGTATAAAAAAACAAGATCCTGACTCACGAATGATGCATGATAACGTATCAACTATCAAGGGCTTTCAGCTGAATACTAGACGCTACAGCACTACAAAGACCAAATGCATGATAATATATATAGTGTTCAACCTGCCATTCTGTAATAAAAAATAATTACAGCCTTACAGCAATCCAAAGGCCAAATTGTCCAATCTGTAGACCGTAGTAAATCAAGGAGTGAGGAGGAAAACATTGGCTTCATCATCTGATTGAAGTACACCAATATACCGAAAGAATTATCATGTGGAAGAGCAGCTTGACAAATGCTCTATGGATGCAAAAGAGCCATACAACTCACATTATTCTAGTTCTTGGAATAAAGTTGAACTCAGACATAACATTCAAAACTCACTCACTAAATTCAAAGCCAACCTTTACATAATTGGTTTGTCAACCATAGTATGTAAGATGTAACTAAAAGATAAAAGGTTTTTTTTTTTTTTGAGTCAACTGTATTTGGAGAACAGTTAAACATGAAATCAGAGCACACACTTTTTGGGTTGCTGCTACTGATGCAACCAATACAAATATACAATTATTAACATCGTACTGAGCCAAATTGACAGTGTTAAGAGTCTAACAAAGTTACAAAACAAGCAAACTATTGCGCACAACAAAACGGTGAACATTCTCAACATTGGAAGGTAAAGACTGGTTTAATTAGAAGGATGACAAAATTGATCAGTCATCGCCAAGAAACAGCAAAATTAAGCACGCAAGGGAACGTCGGAATGAAATGGATAAGAACTGGTATTGACTCGTTTCCAAAAAAATAAATTATCATGTTATTCTGTTACAGCACCATTCAGCAGTAGAAGATGGTACAGCTAACACAAAAAGTACAGAATCTGTTACATGGAGCCAAAGCCTTTCCAATTTCAGGTGATTGTACACTTTACAAGGTAAGATTGGCAGCCATAAAGGTGGAAAATGAAAAAATGCGATTACGGAGTAATAAAATTATGTAAGTAGCTATATCCTTGATGTAATATCTAACCGTATTAACACAATCAACCATATTATGCCAGAAAAACAAGCAGTAACGTTCCACACAGCAAATATCCTTTCATATATCATTATCATAATATAGTACATAGGTACAAAGCTTAGGCGCTCATTCAGAACAAACATATTACAAGTTACAAGATATGCATAGTAATATGCTTGAGAACATCTCATACATTTCCCCACAACACAGTTATAAAAACCATACCTAGACTGTTTATGTACGACCTTGGCATGTCTAGTATTCATCTCACAAATTGTTCCTCCTTCAACTTTTTTGGAGAATCAAAGACGCTGCTGGACAGTCGAAGGTTACCAAGCAAAGCATCACGTCCACTCAACACTATTTGGAAAAACCCATCCACTTCCTTCGCCAAAAGATCTAATCCTGATGAAAGTTTGTCTACTCTTGTCCCTAATTCCACAACACAATTCTGAAACACTTCAGTTTTCAAAGGCTCCGTGCCTTCTTGAATCATGGGATAAATTTGCCCAACAATGGTATCAACTGCTTCCAACTCTTTCAAAAGAACATTCCTATTACTTGAAACTAAATTTCTAATCTCCCTGTACACAAATGTCTGGAGATCATTATATGCTTCTGCCCACATGTGTGTACCAGCAACTTGCAAGTCTACTAATTTTTTATCAGAGCCTGAGAAAGCAGAGATAAATGCACCGCAGACAAACAAAGTGTGCACCTTGACTCCATACATAGCACGCATCAAAGCCTTTCCTTTGGCTGAGTTCTTAACCTTGGGCAGCTCTAATGATTCCATCAACTTATCAATGATAGGGAAGCAATTTTCAAGTCTAGGGTTCTTAGTACCAATGTGATTTCTCCAACTATCAATTGAAGATTTTGCTTTCGAAAGCTCACTTGAACTGCTATGGTCCAAATTACGCTGCAGGCAATGGAGCAGGAGCTGCCCTTGGCTTAGTCGTGACAGCTCAGAACAGAGGGCAATGCAAATATCAAGCAACTTCACACTGTTGTCCAAATAGACATCTATCCATTTGTCATCCCAATCGACAACAGGAAGTTCAAGATCAGTTATCAGAGATTTGATATCATTATGCGTCTCAGATAGCGACTGCACGGCTAATATCATCCAAGAAAAGCTAAAAATCTCGTCTTTGTGCTTTGGAACAAGTCTTCTGAGTCTTCCTGCCAAGGTATCCTCGAACTTATTCAGCAGCGCCTGTACCTTAGGGGAAAGATAAGAGCTCTTCGGAAGTATCATCCGAAAAGGGTTTCCATGTGGGAAGAATGGCCTGTGTGGTTCTTGCGGGCGACTCATTCCTCTTTAAGCAACTGAAATAAACAAATAACAACAAAGAAGCATTCAGCAACCAAAACTTGGCAGATATTACAATCAACATCTTCTCAATGAAAATATAATCAATTACGGAAAAACTTCTAACAAGAAGACAGCA